TTTTGTTCGAATCGGGAGTTCCAATTTCCGCATGTAGAGCACGTAGGTGCGGTTCGATGGCTAAAGTGCAAAACCAAGCTCCATTACGGGGTTTCAAAATCTCTGCCCCTATTTTATTTTTTTCTTGGAAGAAAAACAAGTCAACTGTATAACTTGAGGTTTCTAAGAAATATTCTGCTGACAGAGAGGCAAAATCAATCAGGTTTTCAAGAAATAAAGTTGGCTAGAACTTCCATGAGAAAATAAAGTATGACAGGAAGTCTGCGACGGCGCAAACGAAGATACGTGGTTTCGTACTTTGGCTGTCGAGTTGGAGATGATGAGGATTACCCGCGTTAGGGTGTCTACTAAAACAGGCTGGTCAAAAATAAGTACTTTCACAGTACTTTTTCAGTACATTCTCAAAAAATTCAGCACCTACCTCCTCCGACAGAAAAATTCCGTACTTTTTCAGTACCTCCATTTCACGAAATTAGAAAAATTTGAAATTGCGACAAAAATGACAAAAAATTAAAAAAAAAATTCGGACCTTTTTGCGGTCCTTAAAAAATCGTACTATTTCCGGACTTGTAGACACCGTGCGGGTGGAAGGAAAAATTGCAAATCTACGAAGAAACTAAGTAAGAAACGCAACGTCGCTCAAGCTTTCTCGTTTCTCTCAATTTTTCGTAATTGCTAGTTAGGATATGCGAGAGCACGGCGCATTTCTACGGTGTTCGCTAACTCGGGGCTGAGATGCACACCAAGGACAATGAGCTGTGCAAAAATTTGCCGCGAGTCAACACAAGCGGATGACGCGCCTCGCATTTGCCGCATCGTGGGAAAACTGCACGGAGGAAAAAAGATCGGAACGTATTTCTCCAAGTTTTTAGGTTCAGGTGATCTACACTCCCGCCCCCCCNCCCCCCCCTTCTATATTAAAGCCCTATTCCTTCAAAGCTTTCAAGGTGCAAGATGTATGCGTGTTATTCGAATAGATAACTTTTCGCGCTCCCCCGTAAGTTGGTTGCCTATGCGGTGAAATTGAAGGCGAACTTTTGAAATTGACGATACCTGTCAATTGGTTAATGCATTCTTCATTGGCTTCATTCGCGCTCCGCGTTATAATTGTTGCCTATGCGGCGAAATCGAAGGCGACCTTCAAGTTGACGATCTCTGCCAATTGATTTATGCAGTCTTCATTGAGCAAGTTAAGTACGTGTGTTCTTTGAGCAGATAACTGGTCGCGGACCCGGAATGTTTGTTGCCTATGGATGTAATCTAGTGGACTGTAAATTTTTGGGGGTGCAGCGGCACATTTTTGATTCACATTTCCATGAAAACCAATGACAATCTGGAGAGGTGAGGGGGAGAATGTCACTCGAATTACATGATTAATTTAGTTAGAGGAGTCTCAGCTTGTATTAAATGCAGAAGAAGGAAGCTTAAAAAAAACTAAATAAACGCGTGACATAGACCTATAAGAGTTTTGACTGAGGGTGCTGAGTCACAATTTCAAAGAAACTTTTCCTCATTAGCAAGATACAACAGAGGTAAATTAGGTGAAGAGGTGATTGTATCACCATACTCCTCCCCTGACTTCATCTCCCTCGGTTTCATCTTGTCAATAGGTCATTCATTAATAACGAGCGTATCAGAGGTTTCCAGAAAGAATGCAACTAAGATTGAACGTCAATTCTTATTGTCCCATTGTTTGTTATCAGACATGTGTAGAGTATTGAAAATATCAACATGAGGAATAATTTGCGAGCTAATTTATGTAGATAAGAGTATTATCTAGCTCAAGCATCAGAGGAGTTTATGAAAATTTCTGTCTGATATATTATCGCTGAGCAGGGAAATGTGTATTCAGCCAAACAGAAAAAATGGCAAAGAAAGAAAGAAAACGAGAGAGGATTGCCTGTGGCTGATAAAAATAAGTTTGTTTGATGCCCTCAGGTTTATGTGGGATGTATAATGCCCATCTTGAGTTGACTTTGAGGTGACCATGTGACGGTGAAACTACAAAACGCATATCATAATTTGGGGGGAGGGGGTTAATTGCCAGTTCCTACATACTTAATTCCTTGACCTAATACTGTTTTAATGGTCTACTGAGTATTTGGATGCAAATATTCAAGGATATTGTGACACATATTCCGACATTAAGTACAAGTAATTTCGTGAAATAACAATGTAAGAACGATCTTTGAAGTAGGAAAATGTGATGGGAAATTTTTGTCTCAAGCCGAGATATGCTGTTCTAATGTTTCACTAACTTAAAAATGTGGGATTCATTCATAATATTCCATTTCAACAGTGTAAGTCGGCAATAACTCGGTTTGCGACGTCGCAGACTTCTGTCATACTTAATTTTATAAACGGAAAACTACTCAAAAGTAATTCTTTTCAACTGCCGTGATTTTTCTTCTCTGTGCGAAGAAAATTCTGCAAAAACTTCAAGGAATTATGTCAATTTGTTCTCCTTCAAAAAAATAACACAGAGGCGGGGAATTTCAGACACTGCAAATGACATATGTGATTGCCGAATTACACCGTGGATTTGTGATCCAATTAGAGTATTCCAAAGGTACCCGGGACAAAGAATGATAACCAGCTAGGATTGATGTTTCTACAATAACAACGATGTTTCTTAAAGTAAAAAACTGCCAACTTACTCCTCCCTGGCTGTAAGAGAAAGAGAGATGTTTGACAGTTAACGTTCTATATCTTTCCTTAGCAAACATCTTCCTTAAAATAAATTAAGAGACACACAAATTGGGTGTGGAAGTTTTTAGGAAGATGCTGAGTGATAAGTATGTGTATAAAAAAGAAAAACAAAAACTGGTGGCTCACCATTGAAACAGGAGTCAGATTGGACGACAAAGTTGGCTCCATCATTGCTGTAGCACTCCGGCGACTGGATTTTTTCTCAGGAACACCACTTGGCTCGGAAGTATTCACTTCATTCCGTGCACGTTTCCTCGACATTTTCAAGTTTGCCGCAATTCACTTAAGGCCCACGAAGGCACTTGTACCGTAGCGTTCCGATAGGATCTAAAACATCAATTTGAGGGACAACACAGTGAGACACTGATAGGAGAAACAACTGAGAAATACTACAAAGCTTGTGCCAAGAGGAGGAAAATTGAAGATGAGAATTGAACAGAATCTATGAAAAACAAAGCCTCAATGAATGGTGATAAGAGAGGTGGGTGAGGCTCTGAAATTAGTCAGTTTTACAGAAATTTTTGGTAAAGTAGGAGTGAAACAACACTGGTTAACGAGCGAGATGACTTCGGCGACAAAAAATTAAATGAATTAAAACACTCTCGCAATCTACCCTGGCTGTCAGCACGACCGATCTGAGCACGAAAAAAGCTGACACTGAGGAGCTGAGAGTATAATTTAATCAGCGAATTGCTCTAATGAATTGCGGTAGAGGACAAGTTAATGATGAAAAGCACACTCGGCTGATAACCTCAACTCAAATTGGTATTTTTAAAGAATGAAAGAAATACCTTTTTCTTGACGTCTGCATCTGCAAATTTGTTATCTATTCGCGAGACTATTCCAAATATCGACTAGAAAAGGAAGGCGGATGGAAAACTTGGGACGTGGAGGTTAGGACATAGAATTTCTACGACGCAACCCTCCGAACACATTGAGGGTCGCCTCCTTATCACGCGCGAAAATTGAGCGGGAAATTTTAAGAAATGGAGATCCTCATCGCGATTTTGTGAAAAATAAATCGGATTTTTTATCAAATTTGACGAGTCCGAGGGACGACGCGTTGGGAACTGGGAAAGCCTATCGGTTTCAGGGATGCATGAGCGAGGCGCTCTCAGGAAGAATCCCTTTGTGAATCCCTTCCCGGATTCCTGGCCTTGACCTAATGCGTTGACTGCCTTGACCGAATCACTCCGCTATCATGCGAAACGCGGCCTTACGCAAAAGAATCGTGCGTGCAAACCGCGCATGCAGAAAAAATTGCGGAGTAAATTGTTAGGTTTTATTTTTTTATGACATAAATGCATTCTGATATTCACATATTTGAATGCAAAATATAAATGAAAGAAGGCAAAAAATGCGTACGTATCTACATCCGAACTTTGATCATGGTTTTTTTTTGGGAGGGGGGTGTCTACAAAAGAAATCACAATATCCACTTGAAATTTTTTGTAAGATACTAGTATAATAGGAAAATTCACAAAAAGTTACAAGAAAAACTGTCGGCTAGTTTTTCTCAAATTTTAATCTCCTCCAAAAAAAGTTTATCAGTTTTTTCTCTAAATCAAATCTTTTTTCTCCTAGATCATGCAAAAAAGTTCCTAAAACTGCAGCCTAACAACTGCAACTTCCTACACAAGCAGCGAAAATTTTTCCTGACTTGGAATTTATCAATTAATTCGTTTCAAAAGGCCTTATCATAGTTACACCAAGCACTTTAGGGTTAGGGCCCCTTATATCAACAACTGAAGAGGAGAAATTTGTATTTCTGAACACACATTGGAAATCTCCCCTCATGCTTAATTTCTTTTAAAGCAACCAATTAACAGTCTTTTTTGACATTTCTGTGATTTCCTTCACTTTATTCAGATATATTCACACAAAACTTCAAAAATACTTGGGACGGTTTTTTAGACAGAAATAAAACAAGACTGGAAATTTTTAAACACTGCAATGAATATACACATTTTTCGACTCCAGTCATCAATATAGAATTCATGTGTGTAATGTGCACTTCCAAAGAAAAATTCAAGTAGTGTTTTCCGACTCATGTCTTAAAATTATTCTTTGAGGTAGTGATCATAAATTTCATTGAAGCAGGATTTGTGGGTGTACTGCAAAGAAAAACGCATAACAGTAATTTAAAACTGAGATTTTCTTTATTAAAATTTAAAAATTCTTGAAACTAATAAAGTTCTTTTTATATTTTTCCATTTTTTTTTTACAAAAAGTATTTAAAATCTTCATGACTCCATTCAAATTAAAATTACAGTCACTTGAGCCGACAACACTTTTGATGGTGTAAAATATTATAAATAATGACTTCTTAGCGAGTAAAAATTGAGGAGAACAAAATAAAACTTTTTCAAACACAATTTACAAGAGAAAGATATACACATATTTACAGACTGTGCGGGAAGAAGAGATGGAAGAACACAGAGAAAGAAAAAACAGGGATAAAAGAATAAACTTCAGAGACAAAAGAAGTTGTGGTATAGGATGTGCAATAGATCATTTCTATGGCACTGATCTGAAATGGAGTACATATTAAAGATGGTAACCCAACTTGATGAAAATATGGACTGAATTGCGCAGAGATGCACTAAGTTGCATTAAGAAGAAAGAATGAGTTCTATCTGCGTAGTTTCGAATTCAACTAGTAATAAATTTTCACCGGTTAAAAATTCAAAGTGGACCAAAGTTTAGAACATGAAAATCGTCATTATTTTTTGTCCTCAACAGTAAGTCTTAGGGAGGAATGAAATTTTAAACCTCTTTTTCTCAATTCAAGTTAGATGCCACTTGGTGCATCTCCGTTACATAAACTGTCCAAAAAATTTGGACTCAAAATGATAGAAACAGCAAAAAGTTGCGAATTGAGAACTCTTTCAGTTTTCTTTTCATTGAGGATTCAAGTTTTGAAAAATCAACAGCCTTGGACTAATTGAGAAAAGAACTTAAAGCCATCATCATAAATTTTTTGCGATGCAATGGAGGGATTTGCAAAAGTTTATTCCCTTTACCTAGCCAATCATCAGTTCAAACTGTTGTGACTTAATAAAGAAATTGACTCACTAATGGTAAAAGCACTCATCATGAGAACCTTCATTTTTTGGGTCGGTAGCGCAATTTCATAGTTAAAATTCAAAAGTCATTTTCACAGTCAAAATAAATATCATCAAATGCTAAGATCATTCTAAGTTTTCTCATCCTAAAACCTCATGGTAGAGGGTAGACACACTATCTTGATACCAACAGATAGCTGTTCAACTACAAACTTAACTCACAATTAACAAAGAAACAATTAGAGCTGAAGTCCACCTATCAGAATTTCCTATGCATTGGAAAAAGTTATCAAATAACTTGCACAACTACATATTAAAGGCTAAACTCACAACCACAAATTTCATTTTGCGATATTGTAGACTTTCGGTTATATTTTGTTATTTTTTGCCTTTATTTAAAGAATATTTGGTATAAATATAGGTAAGAAAGTTGGTTTTGGTTTGTTTCTTGTAAGAAAAATAAATTAAGAGTGGAAACTTCGAAAAACATAATCATGATACAAGGTTTTAGAGTTTAGATTTGCAAGTCTCTTGCTTGATAAAATAATGCAAAAATGTATTTTATAAGGTAGGTTCCCACTCTTTTACACAACTGTCCAGAATATTTTTTGTGCATATAAGTGAGAATTATCGATGACATGGTAATGCACTATGCAGTAGAGAACAGACAAGTTAAAATTCTTATGATAGAAAATGTTGAGTATTGATTCCTCGTCTTAGAATTCTTCCTCTCTCTTTGGTAAATCCCGATCAACTATATTTACAAAGGCTTCAGACACCATGCTTCATCTTTGATGATGTTTTCACATCGTAATCAAAGAAAAACAAAAAAAACTGAGTCACTGCTCTAGTGTTTAAAAATAAAACAGAACAGTATGATTGGCAAAAGTTAACAAAAACAATACAACGATGATTATTGATTGATCCGATGAGCATTTAGTATTTTTCTCTTTTCTTTATGGCTCGCTTGCTTGCACACCGGCTGATGATATCTTTCACGTAGTCCTTGTGATCAAAAATTTTCATCACCTGGCTTTTGGCTTCTTCCATTTGGTCTTTTATCACTTTGCTCCTTTGGATATTCCCCTGAAAAAGAAGAGAGAACAGTGAGTTGACTGTGCTTGTTGTAGAATTAGTTCTAATCGTTGAAGTTTTAAGAATACAGAAAAAAAATTTAAAATGTAATAAGAGCTACACGTAAATAAAAAAAAAATACCTAAGCGCAAAAGAAAATAGTTTATTAAACTTGATAAAATAGATCTTGTTTTTTTGGCATTCCAATAACTTTAAGCCTTCTTGATTGGACTTTGCATCAGATGCTGCTGGGCGACAAATATTCTAAGCAAGTCAATAAATCGATGGTTTAAGCATAAGACCACATATTTCCATTGCGGTGTTTCAAAATTCTCGCTCCAGTTATATTTTTTCTAAGAAAAACAAACCAACTGTATAGCTTGAAATTTCGACACAAAATTCAGCTAAAAGGGAAGAAAAACCCAGAAAGTTTTCAAGAAATAACATTGACTGGTCTTCTGAAGAAAAAAGGAAGGATGACAGGAAGTCTGCAACTTCGAAAAAGGAGATGTGTGATTTCGCACATTAGCCATCGATATATGGTTTTGATGCTCATTGTTACAATGAAGAATGAAGAGAGAACAAATCAAAGTTAATTATTACACATTTTTTTAAATTTTTTAGTTCATTTCCATCTTTGATTTTCAACTGAACGGATCAGCCGATTGCAGAATCAGCCAAACTACAAATCACACAGCTTAATTTTCTCTTACAATTTATTATCTCGGTAGAAAACTAAATAACATATTGCACTGGACCTTTCTGTGAATTTATACACATTATTTCCAGTCAATGCCACTCAATTTTCTGTTTAAAAAATAAAATATCCTAGAAAATTAGACATCTAATATAGTGCAGATTCTAACTAAATCCGTCTAACTATCAGTCGAAACTACAAGAGAGGGGGGGGAAAACATTTTAATTGATCAAATTATTGGTCCGAAATGGAAACTTTGATTTCCTATTTTTAAAAAAACGATAGAGCAAAAGGATTATGACTGAGGAGAAAAAGCAGACTTACTTTGATTAGCTCACACACGTGATTGAATTCTTTTTCGGTGTCCTGATCAGATTTCTTTTCCAGGGCCTGCAGCAAATCTGAGAGCTTATCCAGAACTTCTGTCTCGAGATCAGACTGAAAATGAAAATAAAAGAAGGTTTGAGTGTCATAATCAGAGTTCGAAACTCTCAGGCGCCAACGCGCCTAAGAAATCGGTCATGGCGCCTAAAAAATGAAGTCTATGCGCCAACATGGCCCTTAAAAATTGCACCCCTCCCCCCCCCAAAAAAAAATCCTAATTTTTCTGTTTGGTATTTTTTCGAAATTCCTCTCAAGTTACAGCTACTTGTTCTGTAACTAAAACATCTTGCGTCTAACTCTTTACTGTGAATGTGCTGTGATATTTAGGAAAAAAATCGAGCTTGATGAGCCATGTTGCTCCTGAAACTTAAAGATAAGTTTCAAACACTGGTCATAGTGTAGACGCATTACTTTTGAGAACCAAGATAAACATGAGTAGATCAATTAAAATACAACCATGATTTATCAGATTTCACCGAACTGACAAATCAATCCGTTCAAACGTAGAATCAGTTAAATCACGGAATCTGTTGAAGGCTTACTATGTAAGAAAAGACCTATCCACTGAAAAAAAAGATTCAGTGCTGAAAAACGCGAAATTGGGATATTGGTGCTACTCCACTGCTTAAAGAAGTGAATTTTGAGCAATGAAACTAAAAACCTTCAATAAAATCAAACAAAAATGAAGCTGTGGCCGTTAAAAGTTAGCAGTTACTTAAACAAACATAATTTTGAATGATGGCAATTTTCAGTTTTCGTGAACCAAAATCAGAAAGTTCTGGCGGAAATGATTTTGTTGTTGATACACAAGAAGCACAACCTTGTGAAAAGTCTGACATAAAGATATGCATCTTTGGAACTTCTTGGTTTTGTTTTCCCTGTGAAATGGTGTGGACCCAGCACCATTTCTCCACCTTGATATGCATGGACTTATGTACAACAAATTGTATGTTACTGATTGCCTATTGTCACAGAACATTCTGGAAATTACACCAACTGATTGCGGTAAATGCATGGGTCGTAAGACGGGATGTTGGAGTTTTTTAGCCAACGTGCAACTAGTCTGGAAATTAGTGGAGATTTCAGTTCATAAAATATTGCTTGCATAAATTGGAGACCATCAATGGTGCAATTCTTTAAATTAGCAAATTTCATAATTTGAGATCCAATATTTAAAACATGGATTCAACATTTTTTTTAAAAGAAGTGTTTGATTAATATCTGGCTCTATTCTTAATGCGAAGAAAGTAAAACAGGAGTTGAGAAGTTTTAAAACTTACAACATCCTCCATTTGAGAACTGAGATGATGAATCTTCCATCCATTCACTTTCTGCATCACATGCTTATGGCTAGCGATGTCGTTCACGGTTGGTCTCCGGTCATCACGAGGTTTGACATCCGAGTAACGAAGGAAGTGGTGGTAACGTGACTTCCACGCGTGTCGATAACTACTCAACAGCGAAATATTTGGTCTCTTCACTTGGCATGATTTACCATCTTCATTGGATTCTGGAAAGTTTGGTAAAATAAAATGATAAGCTGAAATGACTTTTATGAATATAGGTTGGATAATGAATTCTGTTTTTTTGCTTTGGCTCTTGCAATTTGAGATGGATTTCGACTGATTATTTTCTTTGAAACTTTGTGAAAAAATTGATGTAATAGAATAAAATTCAGACAAAAATACGAGAAAAATGAACTGAAAAAACGTCAATCCATTAGATATAACAACCCTAAATCTTGAAAAATGAAATAAGGAAACAAAACTGGAATTGCATACTTTCTTCATAAAAATTCTCTTTTTTACCTGAAGCCTTGAATGGATTTACCTATGGACCAATAGGTTTAAAAAAAAATTTACTTTGCAGAGAGAGGATGGTTTGAGGTACTAGCTTTTAGTAGTTTAAATATTTTTATGACAACAACTTAAAGTACTTTATCCGAACTCATTCATTAATGCTAAGGTTAAGAAGATAGAGAGAGAGATAATTCATCCACTTACCTTCTTTGATTTCTTTCTTAATTTTGTCTTCAGAGATGAATTCCATTTCTTCTTCACTAAACTTCGAATCTAGAGTGTCATTGCTTGTTCTAGAAAAAGGAAGAAGAAATGAATAAATAATTGGAGGAAACAAATGAATGAATAAATAGTATATAACAAAGCAAGCTGCAAATAAAAACAACGGAAACTTAAAAAATGTATTACAAAAGCTGAGTAATATTTCAAAAGATAGACAGGGCAAGATAACAGACTGGTCAAAATAACAACAATTTTAGCAAACTTATGATATAAACGGCAACAGAAGTTTTTCGTCTAGGACGACTTTCGACTACGAATGTCTAGGTTTTTCGTATAAACATCAAAATTTAAAATTTTGGATTTTGACATGACTGTCAATTTGGATACACTAGGCAAGCCACATTTCATTCTCATCTGAGATCGAATCTCAAAATTGTCACCATTTGGCTCAGAATGACCTCTGAATTTGCAGCATAGTAGACTATCTGTCATACCATGGACATGGACCAAGAGAATAAATAAGGACCTCCAACTCCAGTTAGCAGCAAACCCAGCAGTGCCTGGCAGAGGGTCTAGTGAACTAAACTGACGATTGGGTTCTCCTGTATCATGTTTCCATGCACCACCTATTTAGGCTTATCATTCAAGGCTCATGGAAGTCTCTAGATCCTTGTGGTCGTTCGGAAGTTCTGAGGAGTTAAGTGTGAAAAGTTTCCCATTTTTATTTCAATCTCCATAAGTCTACGGGTACATAAACTGGTAATAATATGAAGTGTCTTTTCTACCTTGTTATTCAGTAGCAACTGCTGATCAGAAAGCAAAAGGAAGTGTGTATGTAATGTGCAACAGGTTTGTACTTATTGCCGAGGGCATTTCTTTGTTAAAGTGAAATTTTTTTAGAGAGAAATAGTGGGGTGCTGATAAAAATCAACTGAGGATCAAAAAATCAGAGATACTTGACTTTAAGCATTACCTTTAATTTGATTATTAGCAAGTCTCTTTGATTCTGCGTCAGAAGTTGACTAAATCATCAGATTTGCTAGTGTTTTGATAAGATACTTCAAATCAAAGTCTTTCACATTAACCTCAGCAGAAGGTATGTATCTATACTATTTAATTAGTTTGCTGAAGTAAAATGTATTAAATTATCTAAATAAATAAATCATGAAATTTACAACAAATAATGAATGGAATAGTACCTACTATAAAGGTACGATCGTGGACCGCTGTGGGGTTAGTTCACCGCCCTCTGCCAAGTTGGCTGCAGTCGTGCGGTAACAGTTTTTAACTCGGGTTTAAATTGGAGGTCCTCATTTATTCTCTTGGTCCATGATCATACTTCGTTTTGCAACAAGAAAACCATAATCAACGTATTTACATACTGTTAAATTTCTAAAGTTTATCTTTTCCATTTGAAGGATATTTGGTGAAAATTTCAAGAGATAGTATTTTCCTTTAAATAATGAGGATGAAGAAATCGATACTCACAATAGCTGCTTTCTAGGTTTCTTGCGAGGGCTCATTTCAACAGGCCTATCTTCTTCGATGGGTGGTGCTACTGGCTCCGTTTTAATAGGTGGCGAATCAGTGCCACCTAGCACCGGGGATGAGGTGGCGGAGATGGTGGTCGATCCACCCGACGACTGACCACCAGAGTCGGGTCTCTTTGGCGATGGTGGAGGGGATGCTAGATCCCGATTGTCTCGACTATCCCTATTTTGAGCGGGTGTTGTAACCCCAAATGAAGCCAGGATAGGCGTTAAATTCTTCTGCGCTTTCAGAGGAGATCTGGAAAAATACACAAACATGTATACAGTTCTTAAATACTATGCTGTAATGTAGATGGCGTAGAGGCAGGAAGATAAAATCAGATAAAATCTGTTAAAATCAGTTACTCTACTGTCGGATGACATTTAATTTGGTTTTAATTTTCCGCTTTGAGGAGGAAAAAATGGAATGCTTGATTTTTTAATCAACCACTTTGGTTTTGACTCCATTAGTTGATTCTCTTGTTCGAAAATGTTTTTCATGTGATTTTCTACAATTTTTACTCATGACTGCGAGTCATATTCACCATTCTAACACTTGCTTTTTATATAAAGATCACAACATTGCTAAAATGTCCTCTGAACGATAAAATCTTTTCAAAACATCATTAAAAGTTTACTGCCTCGAGAAAGTATCAAACTTACCCGTCGGTTTCTCTTTTCCTTAATATACTAGGTCTAGGAGATGCATTTTGTTTGACTATTTGCGAAGGTTGACCGTCTGCCTGAGTTGTTGATTGGGAGACGTTTCCAAGAGGAGGATTATAACAGGAACCTGGAATAAATTAGAGTTGTTCATTAAAAAAATAAATTGAGGGGGACATAAAAGGTTCCCAAAAGTTTACAGAAAAATGTATGATGCTACAGGGTTATTCAAAAGTTACGCACCACTGGCCATAACTTTAGTTCTAATTATGATATCGATTTGCGGTTTGTGGCGTCCTTCCTCATATCGAGGGGGAAACTTTTTGAGGTACTTTTCTGTTCTTCACCCCCCCAGGGGGAGGGGGGGCTGGGGGCAACTCGAAAATTTCAAATGGCAACCCCCATCATGTGATACATCGTTAGAAAGAACATGAAAAAAGAAAATTTTCGGCGCAAACCGGAAGTCGATCTGACCCCCCTGTCAAAAGTTAGGGGGGTCCAAAGGTTATTTAGGGGGTCCGTACCTTCATTTTATAGAGTAGCTTCGGCGGCTCTTGGACATACCGTTTCTCTTTTCAAAGAGTCCTCGAATACTCCAAGTCTGATACCGAAGTCTTCATATTGCCCCCGGGCCACCACAGCCCCCCCGTAGGGGGGGGATGGGCCTGTTACAATGAAACATTGCATTATAATGCGAAAAGTCACAGAAGAGCTTCAAACTTAGCATCAAATCCGAGTGGAACTTCTTGCCAATGTTAACGCAAACGCAGCCTGCGACTTTAAAGTGAGTTTTCAAAACTCTTAGCCCCCTGCCCCCCCTCATTTTTGGTTGCAGAGCGGGTAAAAACCGGGAAATTCACTACAAATAATGCCCGAAACTAATTTCCAACTTGAGGAGGACCCTTGAAACGTTGCGATCAGTCGGAGCATTGAAATGCAAGGACTGCCACCCCCTTAAAGTACGGAAACATCCAAAATACCCCCGCTGCCCCCCTCATTTTTCGTTGCGGAGCGGGTAAAAACCGGGAAAATCGCCAGAAATGATGCCCCGGTTCTTACCAGCTCTGCAACGAAAAAAGAGGGGGGCAGCGGGGGTTTTATGGGTGTTTCCGTCCTTAAAGTGGGCGGCAGTTCCTGTGTTGCAGTTCTCCGACTGAGCGCAACGTTTCAAGGGTTCTCCTCAAGTTCTACAGTGGTTTCGGTCATCATTTCTGGCGATTTTCCCGGTTTTTACCCGCTCCGCAACGAAAAATGAGGGGGGCAGCGGGGGTGTTTTGGATGTTTCCGTACTTTAAGGGGGTGGCAGTCCTTGCATTTCAATGCTCCGACTGATCGCAACGTTTCAAGGGTCCTCCTCAAGTTGGAAATTAGTTTCGGGCATTATTTGTAGTGAATTTCCCGGTTTTTACCCGCTCTGCAACCAAAAATGAGGGGGGGCAGGGGGCTAAGAGTTTTGAAAACTCACTTTAAAGTCGCAGGCTGCGTTTGCGTTAACATTGGCAAGAAGTTCCACTCGGATTTGATGCTAAGTTTGAAGCTCTTCTGTGACTTTTCGCATTATAATGCAATGTTTCATTGTAACAGGCCCATCCCCCCCTACGGGGGGGCTGTGGTGGCCCGGGGGCAATATGAAGACTTCGGTATCAGACTTGGAGTATTCGAGGACTCTTTGAAAAGAGAAACGGTATGTCCAAGAGCCGCCGAAGCTACTCTATAAAATGAAGGTACGGACCCCCTAAATAACCTTTGGACCCCCCTAACTTTTGACAGGGGGGTCAGATCGACTTCCGGTTTGCGCCGAAAATTTTCTTTTTTCATGCTCTTTCTAACGATGTATCACATGATGGGGGTTGCCATTTGAAATTTTCGAGTTGCCCCCCGCCCCCCCTCCCCCTGGGGGGGTGAAGAACTGAAAAGTACCTCAAAAAGTTTCCCCCTCGATATGAGGAAGGACGCCACAAACCGCAAATCGATATCATAATTAGAACTAAAGTTATGGCCAGTGGTGCGTAACTTTTGAATAACCCTGTATATGCAAACATTACACCAACTGTACACTTAAAGGTACACCAATTGTTACTTTCTCTTCGGTTTCATAAAGTATGTTTTTGGATGGGGGGAAGGAAGAAAGACCCTGAAAAATAAACTGATTTTTTTTCAATAATCCTTTAGGAAAATAGAAAAAACATTTAAACGCTCTGAAAATGTGAACGAATACAGGAGTTCTTACTTTCAAAATTCTAAATTTTTTTAAATAGTGATGCAGAAAATGTAAAAAAAGTAAAAAAAGACTCTTACATTCAAGTTGTCTAATTTAAAAAAAGTTTGGAGCCCAAAACATGACAAATAATAACTTTAAATAGCTTTATTTCTTTTCAAACTTGTTTTCTAAAATGCAAAATTCAAACTATCATAACTTATCTTAGGTTTGGCATTTTTGAACAGTTCCTGTGTCTCTTTTTTTACTGGATCACTAAGAGGATAATTCGATCATCGTCAGAGCTCTATTTTTAATTTTTTGCAAGGTAAGGCAAAAAGTATTCATTTTGGAAGCACCTTCATATGAAAATACTACAAAGGGAATCATTCCATGAACTTAGATATAAGTACAGAATATTTTGAATAGAATATGCAATAAAAATGAACTTACTAGATTCTGGTGTTATGTAAGGCTGTGTGATTACCCGCGATGATTCTACAACCATTCCAACATTCAGCGTTCGGACAGGAGGAACAGAGGATTGACCAAGTGATACATTTGATGGGATATTATCTGAAAAAATAAATAAATAGATTAAGTCATTAAAAAAAAAAATTAGTCCCCTTTTTTTTTACATATTAAATAGATAGGTACCTAAAAGAAATTTTGAAATAGCCAGTGAGCCTTCGCTTCAATTTTGTACTTGTTTGACTAAGTACCAAATCCATAGAGAAAGTCTAGAAGCACATTACTCGTTTTGTACAATGGAAAATTTTCTAACGTGGGTGTCCTTCTATAAGGAAAAAACATTTTTTTTCAAACGTGCATAGGTTATCTCATCTATGGGAGCAGGATCTTGTAAGAATTACGAGGACTTAAGGTTATTTCATTCTTTTTCAACAATTGCAGAAATTTTGAACAACTGCAGTAATTGAATCTCTCAGTTTGAAAACGACCCATTTCAGAAAAATGAAATTTCTCAGGAGACAATTAATCTGCAAAACGGCCAAAAGGACAGTTTTTGCACACACACACACACACACACACAAAAAAAAAAAAAAAAAAAAAAAAAAAAAAAAAAAAAAAAAAAAAAATTATAATAAACCCAAGTTGGGTCGTTTTCAAACTGAGAGATCCAATTATGATACAAGTTTTGGATTTCAACGATCAGTACAGAGCCGAGTGCAGCTCACATTACTTTGAATAAACTCCTTGTCTTACTTAACGATTTAAGTGATGAAAAAGCATAATTACCATGCTGTATAGGTCTTAGAGTAGGAACAGGCTGTGTTGAAGGAGGGGTCCCGCTGACAGTTGTGATCGGAGGAAAGCTGCGAGAAACCACAGGAAAACCACTTGTTGTTTCCTGACTGAAGTATGGCCCAGGACCTGAGCTTGAGGGGATGCTAGGACCTGCAAGAAGAGGGGATATCATGGTGAGAAAACGCAAGAAAAAAAACGAAACGAATGCAGATAAAAGGTTCACAGGGTTGCCACAAAATTTAGAAAAGTAAATTCCCTGACATTTCTCTAAAATCCCTGACAATTGAACAAGTGCCTGATTGTGAAGAGGACATAGTTAGAGATAGTTTTCAGGAGAAATTTGTTGTTCAAAACGTCAAACCCACTCGAGAGAGCAAATAAGGATGACAAAACGGTTTTCCCTGACATTTTCGTCATTTTCCCTGACTTTTTAAAATTCCTTGACATTTCCTGGTATTTTCTCACTATGGCAACCCTGGGTTCACAGTAGTAGAAGATGATGCTGTTCAATCTTGTCGTAAATATTTCAAAATCTAATTCATCACCATGATTTTTTCCGAAGTGCTACTGTGCTTGAGGGATGTTGTCAAGTGCTTGAGAGATTTTTTTTGTCTATTTTTCTTAGAAATTGCTTTTCAAATTTCAATTTGCCGATTCCAGATAATCATAACCAATGTGACATAATAGTCAAGCCAAAATTCCAAAAGATAGCAATTTGGATGAAAGATAAAGCATTTAGCAGAAAAGGCAAATATTTATGAAAAATCCTAAAATATGATCAGTTAAAGAAGGAAATAAAACAAAAAAAGAAAACTTTCATATTCACATGATACTGAATATATTCAGTGGCAGGATTTGATGTTAAGTTTTCCAGTTATACCAATTTTCATCATTCAAGTTATTCAACTCTCAATTAATGACAATGATCAATGATTTAGTGTTTGATATTAATTTCACTGATGCATCCTTTCCCTAGCAACTAGCCTTCCATCAGATTTCATGAGGTGAAATGGATCTCCAAGATTGTTCTCAGATTTTCAATGCCTTGAATGACACCTTGTGAATACGTTGAAACAAAACAGAGAATACTCACTTGGTGCAGGTTTGTGGGGTGTTTGAATGAAAAGAGGTTGAGATCCGGAGGACTGAATGGGGATTACTTCTTTTGAGACATTTAAGCCAGGTGGCAGAGAGATGGTAGATGCAGGGGGCACATTTGATGTTGGCAACACACGAGATGCTAACACAGACGGACCAAGCTGGGATGGAGCCGATTGTGTTATAGAAACATTGCTTGAGATGGGGAACCCAACTGTAAACAAACATAGAAGAAATAAATGCTGATGGTTTAGGTGGAAAAATTATATAATGAAATAATGCTATTAAATTCTTTGGGGATAAATATTTTCATTTCGATGTGCTGGATATAGCATAATTTCATCATAATCATTGAAATATGAGTGTCTTAGACCGAATGCATTTAGATATGGATTGCATTTTGCAAAAAGGAACCACTAGCATTGCAATGATGCTAGATTGTGCAACTTCATCTTTTGCAATAAAATTGCGGAAATCGTGAAAAACTATGAAATTTAGATGGTAATTTTTGTCTTAAATTTACAGTTTTTAGCGAGTAAAATAGAAACTATTAATGGATAATCGGGTTTTTCCTCCAAGACCAAAGAATTTGCACAATCTTAGCAACATTGCAATGCTAGTGGTTCCTTTTTGCAAAATGCAATCCATATGTGCTGCCTCTAGAACTGCAAAATTCCTTCTGAACGTTAGATAAATATCCTCAGCTATAAGAGATACTACTTTTTTCTGACACTATTCAAAGGATATGTTCCAGAGATAGATAATACACAGTAAGTGCAACATAAAAATAATAATAATAAAGAAAAATAAAAAAATATAAATAAATAAATAAAATTGACGATCAAATAAAGTCTGAGTTTGAGTTGATTATTTGCGTTTTGAGATGTGTAAGAAAAAATTAGACGATTACTGTACCTGGCTTTGAAATGGACAGATTTGGCTGCTGCGCTACCGAAACGGATGCAATCTGCATTGTTAAACCATGCGCTGGTTGTGTTATTACCTGCAGAAAAAAATAAGATACAATTAATTTGGCTTAAAATAGATTTTAGCAGAGACTTTAAAGCAAAATAGATTAAGAATACGTGGCATTGTAGATTAGAGCTAGCCTAATCACTATCAACAGCAGCTGAATAAGGTCTATAAAAAACTTACTTTTGGACCAGTGTTTTGATGAGATGCATTTTTGAGTACAGGTGCGAGAACTGGTAATGAAACAATGGATGGGGCTAAACGTGGCACAGTTGACGGTGGCTGCGTAACAACTGAGTTCTGACCACCAGGCCCGGTGTAGACAAGAGTTTGACCGGCTCCTAAACTCGTGCGCATGGGAACCATCCCAACACCTGATTTGGCCAGGTAACTTTTACTTTCATTAAGCTGTGAAAATAGGAAGAAAATTGATAAGAATACAAAATTTGGTAAAAAGAAAAAAAATGTCATTACACGAGTCTACATTGCATTGAGTGTCATATAAGTTTACAGTGCATATTACATCTAGGTATCAATAATTACATAATACAAATGACGATGTACCCAGATATATAAGGAATTTAAATTTATTAATTACAGCAGGGTTGCCGACCTTTATCAGTAATTTTTTGTTTTTTCATGCAGTTTTTCAGTAAAAAAAATTAAAAATAGTATTGTAAAAAAGTACAGTAGTTGTAGTAGTGTAGTAGTAGTAGTTGTAGTGTGTAAATGTATTTTCAATTTCATCAATTTATGAGAAGCTCCTTTTTTTGTCTTGGGCATGAATTAGTAAGGTGCACCAAAGACAGGGAAGAGGACAACTTCAAATGATCGTCTCTCTTAAAATTTAAAAAATTACCTGCGGAGGTCTTTGAGATGCATGAAATAAGACTGGACGCATGCCCGGTTCTCGACTGTTGGGTGGAGCAGATAACCGAGTTGTTACTGTGGACAGAAAATCAAGGAAAATTTTAGAGGATTTTAATTGACTGCAGAAGCAAACCTTAATTCTAGTTATACTACTAAGCATGTACATTAAAATTGTAAAGAAAGCTTGTATTTCTGCACATATAAATACGATCTGATAATAATCTTCAGTTACTTAGAGAAAAACATAGTTTTTGTTTGCGATTATGCATTGAAAATTTCTCCATATACCTAATGCTGCAATTTTTATATTTTTGTCGAGAAAAAATCCTGTTGTTTACTTAATGCAGTGGCAATTTTACTTGTTGGTGACACTGTTTTCCCTACATTAAAATCCATGAAAAATATCAATTGAGGTGAAGCAAGCTGCCTTACCAAGAATCGATTAATTTACAAACATTTAAATGGAGGAAAAACATTGTTGCCAAACATCAAGAATTTCCACTGATTTAATATTGAGCTTAAATAGTTTAGTAGGACAGCTTTCCTTGAAAGGAACTGAGATTATCAGGATTGATTTGGGAATCTTGTATCGGCTGAAATTTTGAGTACCGGCCAAAATTTTGATGAAGGACCCTGCAAAAAGACTGACCATCAAACCATCATACCCACAGTTCAGTTGGACTGGTTCAATTTGATTGGTTCTTTTTTGGTGCTCTATACTTCAAAATGGTTATACTCAAATACAGGTTAATGCAATTATGCCAGTTAAACTCAATTATGAATTTTTTGGTTCCAGTATATCTTTTTTGATGGACTGTCAAATTTGATAAACAATAATAAGATATGACTGCTTAAAATACAGATACATAAAGGTAAAAAAAAAACATCACTTAAGGATAACTTACTGAAGTTCGGGCTGGAATGTGAAACTGCAGTTCCCGATAGGGTTGGTGGCCTTGAGGGGACAAAACTGGTGAGCGTCGCGGGGGATGGTTTTGTTGGTACGGTGGAGGCGGTTGTAACAATCCATGACCCATTACCACGGTTCAATACTCCAATGCCGGATACAAAACTAAAATGAGGGCAAATAAATTCAGAATCAAGTAGATTATATTGAAAATGATTGAATTTAACAAATCAGGATAAAATACCATCCTTTTGGATAGCTTCTACACCAGATGAAAAAACATTCCAAGTTTTAAATATGATTGTAACTCTACAGACTGATTGTTCAAGTTACTAGCATTGATAATTCCATCTGAATGTTAGAAACGTAGATTAATACCAGCTCATATGATGGAGCTTGACTACACAAAATTTTTTTGATCGAACTTATCAATTTATAAGAGCATGAGAGGATGAAAAGGCTATCAGAATGAAAGATAAAAAATAATACTTACTTGGATGTGTTGGAAATACTGGTGACAGGTATAGTCTGCAGGCCTGCAACAGAGTTGCGGATGTTGATCGGCGTGGCAATTGTGGCACGAGGAACAGAGATACTTGCGACAGCAGCAGGACCTGAGATAAAGAATTAAAATAAGTAAGCATAGAAACATACCCTCCAGGATTTAAATCAACGGCAACTTCCACTTTCTATGAAAAACTTCAAGAGTTTACTCTAATTAAGGACTTTTAACAGTTATTACATCGAAAATGAAAGTTGAAAGAATAAAATGAAGGTACAAGAATGGGCCTGTTGCAAACTTTTGCTAGAGCAAAAATAAGAGTTGTTTCTTGTAGATAATGCCTCAAAAATCACGATGAGCGCATCGGCAAAGTCTGAAATGCACTCATAACTTCACAATCTGCGTAAGAAATTTGCGTTTTTTTAAGCTTCCCGCTTCAAAAACGATACTACGGCACAGGTGAACATTTTGTTAGAGGAGTCGCTCCATCGTCGGCGATATTCATCATGGCCGACGCTTGCGCGCAGTTCCGCGCTTAGTTCGAGGAGAGTTCAAGGTCAATCAATTCGGGCGTGGAAAATATGAACGTTAACACACCGATTGTTATCTGGTATAATCCAGTTCAGGTGTTATCTCGTCCCATCAAACGTGTTTTGACGGATTGGCGTCGGCCATGATGATTATTGCCGACGATTGAACGACTCCTCTTACAAAATGTTCACCTGTGCCGTAGTATCGTTTTTGAAGCAGGAAGCTCAAAAAACCGTAAATTTCTTACGCAGACTGTGAAGTTATGAGTGCATTACAGACTTTGCCGATGCGCTCATCGTGATTTTTGAGGCATTATCTATAAGAAACAACTCTTATTTTTGCTCTAGCAAAAGTTTGCAACAGGCCCATTGAATTTAAGATCTTGTCATTGAGATAATTGGAATAAGCAATAGGAGAAAATAATTTTTTCTAAAGAACAAACAAAGAGGGAAAATGATAAGGCTAGTTACGAAATATTAAATCACTGGTGGAAAAAAAGCTCACCTCTAGGAATATGATAGGTTGTTGCGTTGGTGTTGAGACGGTTGGCAACGGCTATAGTTTCTCCTAATGATTGCCGGTTTACGGCAACGACTGAAAAATAAACCAAGTTACTATGGTACTCTTGCAGATATTTAGCAAAATTTAATGATATGGGAGAGTGGACTACAGTTAAGGGTTACAAATAAAAGTCTACTTCGTTTGATTTTCCTCTTGGTATCCAGGAGAAAGTTACCAAGCTGCATTTTCGGGATGGTTCATAAAAAGAGCACAAAGTTACAGTAAAATACTTTGGCTTCCGAAGAAAAAGTTAGCCCTTCAAAAGTTTGTTTTATCTTCGAATGAAAACGGGAAGAATTCAGAATTTTTTCCAGTGTTGCCTTTTTCCTTTCTCTCTGCATCAGTGGTCAAACTTAAGCGGGCAAAACACATCTTTCTTAAAACAAAGCAAACTTTCCAAAATATCATCTACACTATATAGCAAGATAATGAGCTAATCTGAGGAGTCAGTAATATGTTTCTACTTTGAGATAAATTTGAAATCTTGGTGAATCTTTCCTTCAATTACAGTTGAGAATTTATCAAATCAGTGCCCACACAACCTTCGAACAACTCCTGCATTCCTCACCTTCTTTGAACCTAAGTTCAAGAATTATATTCATTCATGATGTGAGAAAAAGTTGAGATATTTCTGCACTTAATAACCTACTTAAATCCAATTCTGTTGTTGAACCTAAAACAAACGCCAGTGATGCAATTTTGAGTTTTAAACCTACTGATCCTTATCACTGGGGATCAATTTTTAGCAAATTAAAAAAATGCAGTTACTCCTAGCTTTGACTCTTGACCATAACAGATGCAAATTCTTTAGGATTACGGTCCAGACAACCTTCCGAATGATTATTTCAGCACAGTTGACAGGACTGTACCAAATTTCTTATCACCTTCAAAGTTCTTGAGCTGAGATGCTACTATGGGTATACTTAGGTACTCCAAAAAAAGTATGCTTGTTTGAAATAATCAGAGTGCTAAGTACATGACTACTTAAAACAAAGGTGTTAAAATTGTGATAAGCTTACCTTGCTTTGGAATGTTAGGATGACCAACAGCTGTTGATTGAGAAAGTGACTGCACCGCCTGCAGGGGAGCGTTAAGCAGCCGTGTCGGAGGAGGGGGTACATTTCGGAGTGCTGATACCTGCAAAATTAGACAACAAAAGAGCAGAAGGATAGAAAAAAGCAAGTGAATGATATCCACTATATTAGAGAAATTTAATCATCTAAAAAACAGATGTGCTGGTCATGTATCATACAGGAACCAAACTCAAGTTACTTAAATCAGAGAGGCCAAGGCAATTTCCAGTAATTTAAATATTAGTGTTGAAGCCTCTGACATGATATTAAAACTTATAAATTAAAGCTTTGAAGGATGAATAGGTGCTAAAACTTTGTCAGGAACTGGGACTCAAGGACAGTTGCCACCAAGTAGGTAATGCTACATGACTATGCTTACTTAAATAAGTTTTGGAAAAAATTGTTGCCTTGTCAGATAAACTCATTTGAGGGCTATACATTGATTTGGTTTTGCAAAAATTCTGGAGTAAATACTTGTTACGGTGACAGCATAATTTCAGTTGATGGAATGTGTACTACTTATGGTCAAAGATGCTACTTCATGTTCTGGACATTGAGAACAAGTCCTCAGTCCTGGTTGTAAAGAATTGAGTTACTGGCAGATGGGGTTGGATGATTTGAGGGAGTTGACCAGTTTACATAGATCTCTTCACAGGAACAAGGAAGTTAATCATAAGTGAAGAGTAAGCAAAGTCATCACGCAGTCCCACTTACAGTACTGAAAAATGCTGCTTGTAGGAAAATTTTGACGGATAATTTTTTGAGAAACAGAAGGGAACTTACCACAATACTTGGAGTTTGTTTCAATGAATCTGGTTTAATAACAGTCACCGCTGAGGCAGCTTGGCTTGCATCGAGCAAGGTAGCCTTCTCTCGGTCTTTGTCACTATCGCCCATACCGGTTATTTGAGATCACATCCGAGGTATTTTAACTTCTAACAACCTTAGAAATAGCTTAAAGAGTATGCTTACTAAAAACTAACGCCTTGAAACTGAGATATTTTGATATCAGCTAATATTAAAACATAGCACTGGTTCTGGAGAGGTTAAGGAACACAAAATCCGCACGAATATCATTGTTCTCGGACGCGGAGAAATAAACTTCCAGAAAATAAAATCAGAAGGAGACGGCCGTTAAATCGGAGGAGAAGAGAGCGAATTCTCGACAAAATAATTAAAGTAGGCTAATGTGAAAATTTCGAATAACATCCTAGTCATTTCACTTGTGGCGGCGACAACGAACGAACGATTAGACAAAAAAGGGCATAGCACGAACTGGCAACAGATTGTGATTGGAAACGAACCAATCAGGAGATCGCTTGTGTATGACGTCATAACGTGTTTCGTTGGCCGCGTTGGCCGCCATTCAAGGCGGGAGTGCAAGGATGATGGGTGGCGGGGGTTCGGGGAGGCAGAATCACGCGTAGCTTGAAAAGGAAGGGGTAATAGGAAAGAGGGGAAGCAGGGAGATTTGAGGGGAGAACTTTTCACCAACTTTACGATAATGCGTGATAAGTTCGAAGTTCGTTTGATATTTTTTTAAGCTGTATAAAACTTATTTCATATTTCAGAAATACTTCTACATGGCATCATATTGTCTTCCAAACCATCTGTCACAAGAATGTCACATTCGCTTTTACCATTAGTCTCATGCCGCGGACGAATTGACGAATTATCAGATTTGCGGCTGTTCTCATAATATTCATGAATCTCCTAAAAAATTTGAGTAAAAAATGCATCTAAATGTTTGGAAGTTCAAGGTAATTTAATTGACAAAATCCACTCATGAACACACTAAAATGTAATTTAATGATGGAAAAACGTAGAAGGAGAGATAAACTGGAATATTTTCTCGGAACACATTTAATTGCGAAAGTGAAGTACTTGTTCTAATAAGTCTAAAAAAAAGGTAAGATAACTGTGATCGTGATCTCGGAATTTCTTTTTTGTTTCAACTTTTATTTTTGAAATTGGCGGGATCTAGGTTCTAGTTCGTTCCAAAAAACTTTAAAAGGAACTCGGAGGGAGGAATCAGAAATGGACTGATAGTTGCCAAGTTGCAGATTTTAATTTTAATTTTTAGATACAACCAATGCAAAATCAAGTTAGCAACAATTTGAGCCATCCGGCAACCTCTTTGGTGGCAATGTGCTTGTTTTGTTTTGGATGGACGTGTAATCAACTACCGGCATAATATTTGTGAAATTAAATCAGTTTCTATCATAATAAAATCCTTATAAGTGTGTTTTCAGCAATTTTACAATCATAAGTGTGTTGAAGATTCTAATTTCATACGAATTGTAAGCTCAAATTTCTCTTCAGTTTCATATTATATTTGCTTAAAACACCCTGTTATCAGGGACGGTCGCTTCCAACTCATCATTGAAATTTAGTTCGAAAATCACCTCTCAGTCATTTCATGGAAAAGTAGTCCATTTGAAATTCAATATTCTTATTTCAAATCGTAGATGTAAATGAATCTCCAAGCACTCTGTTTCCAAAATGTGTAGCATCAGCTCACTGCCTGGGTATGCAGACGCAGCCCACGCTCAAAATCTGAGACGCTTTTTACAAAATTTTGTCCAATGAATTTTTTTGAAAATTTTGACGATAAACTCGGGAGAAATTAAAATGCCCAGATATTTTTAAAATTCAGTTTTGATGTCTCAACTCGCATCTCTGCTAATCATGGTTATTGGACTGTCATCAGAGGTGCTGTCAACCAAGTTGGCACTTGCTCACATTCTGCTTGCAAGCGATCGCGATGGTCTAAAAGAGATTGAGGAATGACTATGCCCAGGATCAGGCCACAGTCAATCCTCGGACTTAATTGGACAATTGCATCGCAATCGATTGCAGGCGGAATGTAAATAAGAGTCAACATAGCTGACAACACCTTTTACCATCTCTTTCCTTTACTTTTGTACCGGCAAACTGTTCAACAAATTAATGATATTATTCTAAGCATGTCTTTCTAATTAAAGGAATCAACAGCTGCCCATTCAAGTATTTCCCAAGCTTTTCAGTAGCTGTACTTACCTCGGTTGTCACATCAAGTGAGCCTTCTTCTATTTTGTCACTATCATTGTCACTACATAATTACTCATTGTATCGTTTCAGATAGTTCTCAACCACAGGACTGGCAGGGTCTGTTTGGTTGCAAATGAAAATGAGAATGCTCAATTTTGAGAATTGAAATAAATAGGAGTCAGCTTTTTATTTTTCTCTCGTTTCATCCAAACATTTTTTCCTGCAATGCTACATTGTGTATGTCTTTATTATTACAGATTGAAGTGTCAAGATGGGTGTAGAAATAAAATGGAGAGGATATCGAATGTCTGTAGAAAAGCAAGAGACACTTCTAAAATTTGGTATTCTCACAATAGCAGCAATTCTGTGTACGTATGTTTTGAACTAGTTTATACTTGTCAAATTTTTTTGGCCAAAAGTGTCCAAAACTTCATTCAGACAAGTTTATCACTTTTCATTGTTTGTGCATTTATCAATAATGGAAACCTAGAGTTCAGAAAAGAGGATTCAAATTATTATCTCCTCAAATACTGATAAACCCTAAGATCATGTACAATTATACGTATAGTGTGCATGGCTCTACAGAAAATTTGAAAGCTTAATTTATCACACATGGTTAAAAAACAGAAATTGAACAAAATTTAACTCTACCTTTCAAAAATGATTTTTCCTAGAGTAATGATAAAATTGTGAAAATACTAATATCAATTCATCAGAAATACCAGAATAATGACTTGCACCCTAAAACTGCTCGGTCGATTGTAAATAGAAATTTTCTCACATTCTTACTTAGTTGCAGATTGAAACAAATCAAAATCCAAATTGAAACTCTTTGTTTCTCCCCCATCTAATTCTGTAGTCATGTTGTGAAAATCTCAAGGCACAATATTAATTTTTCTCTTTTAAGTAAAGAATTAACTTTGCGCAGAAGTTTAGAGCCGTTGCAATTCAGATTCATGATTTTGAAATTTATCCATGGATAATCTAATATCACCTGTATCAAGCATCAAGTAGTAAGTAGGTGCCATCAAAAAATGTTAAAAAAATTCTTGGTTGCCAACAGTTATTGCTCGCAAACCTGTTGATGGCACTTAAAGTCTAAATAAATTCAATGGCTTTTTCTTTTCTGATTTGGTTCTTTCCTCTTTCCAGCCTTCGCAACTCGTCTATTTTCTGTCCTTCGCTTCGAAAGCGTCATTCATGAATTTGATCCATATTTCAACTATAGAACAACAGTTTACCTTGCTGAAGAGGGATACTACAAATTTCTAAATTGGTTTGATGATACTGCCTGGTATCCTCTTGGCAGAATTATCGGAGGTATGATTTCAGCTTCTTTTCCTTCAAAGAAAAAACTACACCAATTCATCTGAGTCAATAGCTCTGTGACTTTTCTAAAGATTAGACAGCCAGAGTAGCTAACCGAATTAGGCATGACTAAAATTTAATTAATTTTCTTTAAAAGTATGTTACTTCTACAGATCAACGCATTTGTCCTAGAGCTGATTTAAATTTACACAATTGCATGGGCTGGTTCTAATCAACCTGGACACATTGTGACTGGCCTAAATTAATCTTGGTGCATGCAAATCCACACGGGCTGATAGCAACCAGCTGAGGCAAATTGAAATGTGTATGCTCCAATTACAATCGGCCAAAAATTGGGATCGCCCCAAAATAAATATGCTTGCTAATTTCTTCTCCTCATTTGCTTGTTTTTTATTTTATTTGACAGGTACTATCTACCCCGGGCTCATGGTCACGTCTGCCATTCTCTACCATATTATGTGGTTCCTCAATATTACCATTGACATCAGAAATGTCTGCGTTTTCTTAGCCCCCCTTTTCTCAAGTTTTACAACTTTAATCACTTATATGCTGACAAAGGAAGTCACGGTAATCCTATTCTTTCCTCTTCATTTTTTTTCTGGGGTGTCTACAGGTCTTTAAATCTGGAAGTTATATGGGAATTCTATGAAAAAGACTGGAAATATGAAAAATCTTAAAACTGGAAATCTGGAAAAATATCAGAGCTGTCCATATAATTAAACCAAGCCTCAATTTGATTAAATGCCGAAGCCTCTGGGTTACATTTTGAGCAGTGAATAGAGGAATGACTTTTATTGCGGAATTTCAATTTTAGTAATTGAATAATTCATATTTTTCAAAATTTCTGGACGTTTTTTGGACCATGGTGTGTGTGTAGAACACTTGCAATTTTTCGAACTGAAGTCTAAGTTTGTGGTTTTTCTCGATGCTGAGGTCTCTGCCCTTGAACATTAGGGTGTCTCAAATTGAAATTTGAGAACATTTTTTGGATGGTTCAAATTTGGGACACCCTATTGAACATGGTGACACAATCCTTTACACACGCATCAATACCATTACTTTCCAGATAAAATGGAACAGAAGTCTCCGTATCAAAAATAGCTTTTTGGTGACTACTGAAGCAATTTTTCTCTTTTCATTTGAATTGTAAGGTCTGTTAAAAATTTGACAAGTCGTCCCTAGAAAAATAATACTATTGCTTGAATGACTCCAGAGTCAATGCATTTTTTAACTTTTATCTTTATCAAATCGACTGGAAGCTAAATTTTTATTCTATACAGCTGTATTAACCTTGATTAAAACTTGTCTCTTTTTTTCTCAGAATACATCCGCAGGTTTAGTTGCTGCTGCCTTCATTTCCATAGTCCCAGGATATATTTCTAGATCTGTGGCTGGCTCTTACGATAATGAAGGTATGTCTTACAGTAATCAGGGTATTTTAGGGATGAGGTCAAATTACCTTTATCAAGTCACCTCTTTTATCTTTAAAGTAGGTAAAGGATACGATGGGAAACTTGCAGAAGTTGAAACAAATTATGAACTCCTAATGTCCTTGAAACTTTTAATAATGATCATTATAGGTATATTATTTTCCATTGTAGCCCCATTTTCCAGTTGTCATTTTAGAAAAAAACCAGAAAAGTAACTATAAACTGAGTTCACGCAGTTTCTTCTCCAAATCATGCTTCAAATATTTGATGCAACTGACTCATTTAATTTTATTTCTCTCTCTCTAAGTTCTTTTAAATTTGTTTCAATTCACTGATCTTTTAATTGTTAAAAGAGGGTCAAATTTCAGAGTAAGTTATGTATTTCGTATTTATTGAAGGTTATTTCCTTTTCAGCCATTGCTATCTTCTGCATGTTACTTACTTATTATACGTGGATCAAAGCTGTCAAAACTGGAACGATTTTGTGGGCAACATTATCAGCTCTAGCTTACTTCTACATGGTGAGAAGAAGATTCTTTTACATCATATACATTTATTTTAAAATTCAACTTTTTTAAATAATGTTACCAACCAATCAGAATACTTTACTGCTTCAGAGTCTGACTGCTTTTGAAAAAGTGTGGTTCTTTCAATAATTCAGTTTACATTCTGATCAAGTCAAAATACATATTATTATAAATTAGTAAACTGTTCATTGTTGCGGGATGCCTTACAGATTTATTAATTGTCCTGAATTTTTGAAATTTACTTTTTTTGGCCGAATTTTTTATTTCATTTTGATTTTGATTAAATGTGTGAGTGAATTACCAAATTTTGACAGAATATTATGAATAGGGAATTAGTAGGTCATGAGCACCATAGATTATTTTCATTCCACTAATACAGAACTGAATATTTGTAGTAATTTTTGTCAATAAAAGAAGACGAAAAAATTAAAAAATAAAGAAAATAGAAAATGAATACAGACCTGCGAACTTTTTCACTCTTATCGTTTCTTTTTTGTTTATTTGTTGAACAGGTTTCTTCTTGGGGAGGTTACGTTTTTCTCATCAACTTGATCCCTATGCATGTCTTAATTCTGATGATCACTGGAAGATTTTCGCACCGTATCTACATTGCCTACAGCACCCTCTACTGCGTGGGCACCATCCTCTCAATGCAAATTCCTTTTGTTGGATTCCAGCCTGTCCAAAGTTCAGAACATATGCTGGTTAGTATTTGAGCCTCCAGCTTCAAGTCTCTTTATAGACTAAACTTTTCTTTTCAGTACACTAAACTTAACTATAACTATTCTTCATTTTTTTCAGTTTTCTCAGTTTATAATATTAGATGTATGTACCAGAAATTTTAAACACGTGCCATTTCTCTTGATCGGCGTTTCCTCCTCATAGTCGTCAGTTTTGTGGCACAGTCTCTAATTTTTGGCTTAATCTATTCATAGTTTTTCTGTCAAATGCAAAATAGACAGTTCTGAATGATGTTGCTATTAATGTATAATGTTAACTTCTTGACCCCTTATCTTCTTTCGAGTTGAAATCTGTTTTGTTTTTGCAGGCTTTGGGAGTCTTTGGTCTGTGCCAAATTCATGCTGCGGTCGATTACATGAGGAGCAAATTATCAAGCGAAGACTTTGATTATCTGTTCAAAACTATCGTTACCTCTGCTGCTGCTGTAGCTATTATAGTTGGAGGTCTACTAACAATTACAGGTAATATTTAATTTGAGTTAAAGTTTGAAAAAGCACTGATTGTTGGTCAAACAAAAAAAAAAAAAATATTTCACATGGTCAAGTTCATTTACATTGGTTTTGTTTTTTTTCACAAGTGGCAGGTTTGAATCAACTGATTCTAGTGTGAACTGCAAATGGTAGTTGCTGGCCTATGATTTTATTTTGGAGTTAATTGAAATTTTCAGCAAGTTCGGCGGGGTATTACTGTTGGGAATTGTTGGTGAAAGTTTAATCTGTATCCTATCTAGTGGCTTATTAAGAAGAGTTCTGATTCATGAAACAAATGCGTCTGTCCTCCTAATGCTTGTAATTAAATTTATGTATCGAAAAAAATCTACCCTTAATATCTTGTAAATGCTAGCTTCTAATGATTGGGTCCAAATCTCATAACCTATCTCTGTTATGTTTCAGGGAAAATTGCTCCTTGGACTGGAAGGTTCTACACTCTGCTGGATCCATCCTATGCTAAAAACCATATTCCAATCATTGCATCCGTCTCTGAGCATCAACCGACTGCATGGTCAAGTTTTTATTTCGATCTTCAAGTCCTCGTTTTCCTCTTTCCTGCGGGGCTCTACTTCTGCTTCTCGAAATTAACGGACTCCAACATTTTCATCATCCTGTATGGAGTCACCAGCATTTATTTTGCGGTAAGATTTGAAATACCTCTCATTGCCGAGTATATCAGAGACATTGTGAAAAACCAGGGGTGCTGAAAAAATGTTCCCACAGCATTCTTGTGGGACCCTATGACTAGCTCGCAGAACATAATCATTCGCAGGTTGTTGAGCAAAAAAGTTTGAAGTGCACACTGATCGAAAATCAGGAAATATTTTAGAACCTTTCAACTCTGATTCATTGGATTACAAATATATGAATACATTTTTATTCCTAAAAATTGAAGAATATTGCAGATTTAGAATGCGCTACCGTGGGAGTAGTGCAAGCTCAAATGAACTAGAAAGGAATTTAAAATTAAAAATTTCTGGGAAAATCAAGCCACTTGCAATTCATTTTTCGATTCGATTTTGATTGTGATATTAAAGCTCGGTTCATAAGACAGCTTTTCTCAAATTTCAATTTTTTGGCCCATTCTATCAAAAATCCTTCTCTGAATCATTTGCCTTTGTCCCAACTAAAGTTCTTTTTCTTGCGGGTGGTCACGAATAAAAAAAATTGGTGTCATATTTTCACATCTATCTATCTCTCCACTCTCTGATAAATTCACTTATTTTATAATTATGAGATCCATGTGCGAGTATACTTATTGTTCAATTTTCAGGGCGTGATGGTACGTTTGATGTTGGTTTTGGCCCCAATCATGTGTATACTCTCCGGCATTGCTGTTTCGTCACTGCTCAACCTTTACATGAAAGAGATCGATTTCAACCCGAAGAAAGTGGAGAAGAAACCGCACAAGAAACAAGATAACATGGTCATGAAAAGCGAAATCGCCATTGTTTTTGTTGCTGTCATTACGTTTTTGTTAATGTCGTACACGTACCACTGCACTTGGGTCACGTCAGAAGCTTACAGTGCCCCAAGTATTGTTCTTTCAGCTCATACACATGATAGGTCCTTAATTATCTTCGATGATTTCAGGGAAGCTTACTTCTGGCTCCGGCAAAACACTCCTCCCGTAAGTTCTATTTTGCTTCAGTTAATACATTTTTTTCCTCCCATTTGTAAAAAATAATAGTATAATAAAAGCTCTGCTGAAAAAAATGGAGGTACATGCATGGCAAGGAAAATGTCCCCTAAGAAATCCAATTTTCTTCTTCATTTTGAAGTCAAATCATAAGGTGCTTAAGAATGATCAAAAGTTTTTTATGAAGCTGAAGCCATAACCTAAATAAACAATAGCCATTTTCAAGGCAATCTAAACAGCCTTCATTTCATGAATGCATATTGAAAGTGAGGAATGAATTTATCAAAGGGTTTTTTTTTTTTTTTTTTTTTTTTCATACTATCAACTTTGTTACCAATAGCCTCATATTAATAATTTTTTAGTAGGGTAACATTTTTAGACACTTTCATGTGTTTCGCCCGGTGAAGTCAGCACACTGGCACCAAAATATTGAAGAACCCCTGTTTTGCTCCTAATTTACTCGGCAGATCGATGCACTGAAAGTGTGGGCAAATAACCTGCAAACGAATTTCTGTCTGTTTTGGAAAAATTCGCAGGCATGATATGTATCAAAAAAATTCCTGCATCAAACCTACTCAGCATTTTTCAGTCCCGTAAAATCAGCTGGTAAAATCAGTTTCGGATATCATCGGATCGTTTCATTTTTGGATCTACGTACGGATACAGAATTCAAGAAATGTTATTTTATAGTTGTGCCGTCATGTTTAAAATCAGTCAACAAAAAAATCATGTGGTAATAATTTACTTATTCTAGAATTCAAGAATTATGTCGTGGTGGGATTATGGCTATCAAATATCAGCGATGGCGAATCGAACGATATTAGTGGACAACAATACTTGGAACAATACTCATATATCAAGAGTCGGGCAGGCCATGGCATCATCTGAGGAAGACGCCTATGAAATAATGAGAGAGTTGGATGTTGATTACGTCTTGGTCATTTTCGGTGGAGTCGTTGGCTACTCATCTGATGGTAAGCTCTCTCTCTCTCCCTCACTGTAATAAAAAAAAAACAAGCAACTTTCTGCTCCAAATTTCCAACATCAGTGCTTTTTGTGGGGAGAGATAGCTCTGGTTTAGTTCTCAATGATGACTTTTTACATGTATTTTTCTGCTGATACCACAAATAATTTTCTTCCAAACGTAAGAAAGAGCACAAATTGTCTGTGCTGTTTCAGTATTTTTACAAACATTTTATTTTTTCACGGGAGAACCGTCCCACAGATCAGTCTGAAAATTTTAGAGTCTTTTCTCACAAGGGTAAAAAAAAATCATCAGAAATTTGCAGAAAATTCATGTGAGGGTTCTCGTTTAAACAAATTAATGGGGGAAAAATACTGAAACAGCATAATTGAGAATTATTCCTTTGTGCAGGAAGCAAGAAAATGTATTGATACAATAACTAAGACAGGTATCTCCGTCAAATTTTGAAGCTTATTTCCACCAATTATTAGCAGACAGGTTCTATGATTGTGTAATCTTTGAATAGTTTTCCAATTAGAAAATAAAGTATGACAGGAAGTACAGCGTCGCAAACCAGGATACGTCGCCTGGTACTTTCACTGTTGATGTGTCATCTGTATGTCGTGTATGACCTGTATAATAGCCATGTGCATGATTCATGCACCAATTTTAAAAATAAAAAAAAGTTATGTCCAATCCGCAAAAACCGTTTACATACCCATTTTTTATACTGTTGCCAAGCCCCTACTTTTGCCCCAGCCTTTATCAACAACATTTTAGCTGAATTCGTCTACTAAATAGATGAGCTGCTTTCCAAAAAACTCCATGTAGATAAGTCCCAACTCTTCACTGACATCATAAAAGTCTATTTTTTTAGTTTTATGGTGGATAAATGGTTAAAATACTTTTTATTTCAGATATCAACAAATTCTTGTGGATGGTTCGAATTGGAGGCTCGACAGATCGAGGACGACACATAAAAGAATGGGACTACTATTCACCAACTGGAGAGTTTAAAGTAGACAAAGATGGATCTCAGAATATGCTCAATTGTCTCATGTACAAAATGTGCTATTATAGATTCGGCGGTGTTTACACGGAGGAAGGTGAGCAGAGCACTAATATCATAATCAATTATACTGAACTTTAAAGTGTTACTTACAGGCTCCTTCTATCATTCTTGCTTTTCTGTTTCTATCTCTTCCTTTTTTTTTTTCTCAATCATTTTATTTATTCGTCTGAAGCACGGTGTCTAGGACCCCGAAAACCGGGACTAATCAAGGAATGAAAAATTTCAGGAAAAAATCAGGGTATCTTCCAAAAAATGGGATTCTCTTCTTCTACCGCTCATAAACGGTTTAAAGGTTTATGTTATTACACCTGAGCCACCATTATTGACTAAACTAGCATTTGGACTTTTTGAGCAATATCTGTCAGTAATGCCATTTTTCAGCTGTGTTTATATAATTTTAAGCGCTCAGCCGATAGGCAGCGCTTTTTGATTTCGACTTGCCTCTAGAGTACTAGTATACTAGTGCTAATTCGTTTAAATGGCGCACCAGCTCATCGATGTGTAGGCTTTTTGGGGGGGTCCAGTTTTAAAATAAATAAAGCTGTGAAAACTGTATTTTATGCTTTTAACGTAATGCGCAGGTAGTTTCGATTGTTTGTCTGTAAGAAAATTCCTTAGCGGTAAAGTAATTCCTATCGAAATTGATCGTTGAACTTAAATGAAGCCTAAAAAAAACGCGCCTGGTGAGCTCAACGGTGGTTATCATTTTTAGGAAACAAAAAAACGCGTTTACGGTTTCCTTGGTAACCTTTGTTTGATATCAGCTGATGCTTTATTTCCATTTCCCAGCCAAGTCGACGGAGTTTATACTTCCTTTCTCCACTAAATACATTTACTAACACCTGAGCGCTTTTCTAATATGACAGTATTAGAACTTTCCCGCTTGTTTTTTACCTTTGAGCCATTCATTTGAATTCACTCAAGATTCAGCCCAATCCCCCATGATTGCTTTCATCATGATTTTCTCTTTAAAAAATTGAAAACTCTGTCTAATCCATTTTAATTGTTTTCTAGGCAAACCTCCTGGTTATGACCGTGTGCGCAGTGCAGAAATAGGCAACAAAGACTTTGAACTAGACGTTTTAGAGGAGGCCTACACGACAGAGCATTGGTTGGTTCGGATCTACAAAGTGAAAGGACTTCGAAACAGAGGTGTTTAGTGTATTTAGTTGGTTTTTAGTAATTTTTATTTTTTTATTTCTTTCAATTTTTTTATCATTTTTTCTTTTTTTTGGGGATGGAAAGTTAATGAAAGTTTGTGATCTGTTTCTTTATATCATCCATGCAAAATGTTTTAATGAAGTGCACATGTTTTTTGTGATATATTGAGCCAGTGAATTTACTTATCCTAAGATAAGACACTTAGAGATCTTTTCTCCATACGCAATTCATGTGAACAATACTCTACTCTTTGAGGTAGAAAGAACTTTCATGTTCCTAATTGTACTTTTTATTAATACTTAAATTTCAGCATTGCTTCCTAAAAATTCCTTACGATTGGAATTAAGAAATTTAGAACAAATCGTCAAACTTATCAAGGCACATTGTTGAACGTAAACTAATGGAAAAAATTGCTAGATATTTAATATTGTGAGATATCACTCTACAGCAGCTAGAAAAAATATGGTGTCTCCTCAGATCTTACTATTTTTGCATAAATGTGCTAGCATTAAGTATGAAGACATGATTTTATGACACGTTCAAGTAACCCATCCCGTTTGATGCAGAACTTTCTTGCTATGTGCGCCTGTGAATTTCGAATTCTCGGCATCCCACCATATTTCCTCCGAATTTTTGCATTTAGTTATCTACTTATTACTACATATTGAAGGTTTGACTGTAAGCACTTCTGTTTTCAGCATTACGACATCTTTATGATGCGTGCATGTATCTTATATTTCACCACTAGTTTTCAGTTCTACACCCACATTTTTGTGTCATCGCAGCTATGAGGCCATACATGATATTTACCGGAAAGGTATTTTTGCGCTAGCCTCCATAGAATTAAGGTTTATTTCAAGACCTGGAATCAACAAGAGGGCGTTCAAGTATTGCCTTTATCATTTTGGCCGACTTTTTGAACCCTCTCTCTCTCGTAAGCCACCTGTAAGAAAACCTCTGAATCCTCTTTTTTAATTACTTAAGCCTGGCCTGATCGACCCTCCCCCTTTCTAAATTTTTCTAAAAGATTTCGCAGGAAACCTAAAAAATTGCCAGAAAAAGTATTTTTATCGAAAAATATTATTTTTTTTTGCTCCTTTTTTTTCAAAGAGATGCTTTTATGTAATCCCGGAGTCGACTTCCTCTTCCTTCCCCCCTTAAGCAGCTTACGTAATACCTGAACGGCCCTCAACCTTTATTTTTACTTTAAATTTGTCTCTGAAAACTGGGAGATTTTAGTAGGAATAAATTTAAAAACAATTATCAATTTGAGAATTTGAGTGTATTGAAATAAATATTTTTTTAATTTTATATGATTCCATGTAATACTTAGTCGAATTTTACTCTTCAGGGCACAGCATTCTTAGATTCTACTTTTTGACCCTTTGCTAACGGAAACATGAAAGTATGGATTGAAATTTTCAGGGAATAGCTGTCGCTATTTGTCGAGTCTACCTCAATGTCCCACTGATGTAGTTGCTACTGCCCTGATTTTTTATGTACGTGCAATTTTCTTTCTTGGAGCACTTCTCATCCTCACTTCAATAATGAATTGTGCTCAAATCCTTGGGAATTACTTTATATTTGATTTAAATCTTAAAATTAGTGCTAGGTTAAAAAAATTGCGTCTGTGAGACAGCTTCCTATTTTTATACCTTTATCTGCTCTTGTGAACCTCATTTTTTCATTGCCAAGCTAGGTTTTCTTGATTTTGAGATTCCTCTTCCGGCAGACGGTCACAAGTAGAAAAAAAAGAGGGAACTAAATTTTTACATTCCTTACTTATGCTGTTGATCGAAGCATATGAATGAAAGTAAGATCGGTTAAAATAGAAATACTGGTTTCCCAAGTTGACTATAGATAAGGAAATCCAATTCGCAGTGTAGTCAAATTAACAGGGCAAAATATTAATTTTTTTTAACACCTTACGTTTAATAAGATTAATTGTTGTTATTTGATTGTATTGATATCTTTTTAGCTGTACATTGAGCTGGTTTTTCAGCATTTTGTGTAAAATGTTAGTTTTAATGTTGAAGTAATCTATGTGTCTTCAGATTTAGAACTGTTGTACATAATTCAGTCAATGGGAACTGTCTTCTAAAAAATTTCACATTTTCTAACTGAAGGGAATGACAGTTGGCAAAGAACAATAAAAAGATGTTTTTCAATTTTTTTAGTTTTTATTTTTTTATTTTTAAAAACAACAAATTACAAGGATAGATTCACTTAATTTTGCATTGAATTTTCTTGTGCTTGCCAGAAACTTCTTACAAATTTACTTTATTGCAAAAAAAGACAATTCATGAAGTCAAAGTTGCGTACAACATTCTTGTTCTTCACGGGCAAGATACGGCATATTTCTTTATTAGTCGTGCTCACCATATATTTGTTCTGTGCTCCCAAGAAGATAAAGTGAAATAATTTTATGCCCTTCGAATTTAAAGAAAACATGAATAAAAAATAAGGCAAGCTCCAAGAAAGGCTGAAAACAGCTGGTAGACGAAGAAATCATTTTCTCAATTGATTATTGAACTTAATGAGCTGAGAATTTTAGCATTTGTTTATCATGATCTGGAAGGAAAATTGATTGTTTTTGAAAAATACAGTGATACATAGATTGGTATACAAAGGTGTGTAAATGACATGTTTTCCCAGCAGTTTTGGTACATTGTCGCCCAGCCCAATCGCGGACAAAAGAACAATTTGAAACTTGAAATCTGTGAAACATTCACTCACAATTTGCATTTTACTCTGAAACTGGTGGGAATGTTTTATTGAACATTTTATCGATTTTTTTATGAACAATTTGCAAAAATCGAACTTTGGATGGAAACTGCACAGTCATTTCTTATAATCAAGTGAACTAGTTAACTAAATATTTTAACCTCGGAATGAGTCACATTTTTTTGTTTCACAAACACACCGTTGCGTAACAGAGAAAGTTGGTATGAGTCATTGACATTTTTGCCCCTCTGGTGCTCAGTAGCTGCCGCAAGGGACAATTTCACACCTATACCATGAATCTTTTAACATTATTTATTTTTTAAGCAGTCTAACGCTCAAAAGATATGAAGACTAATTTTCATGCGGAGTACATGCATATTGCAATCAAGTTTCAATAAATGATAATTCTGTGAGGAAGAAATTGAAAGCCAAAAGGGGATCATATCGATGGCTAAAATTTGGAACGACATACCTCTGTTTACGACGTAGCAGATTTCCTGCCATTCTTTTTTCTTCCTCGAAAAACTAGTCAATGTAATTTCTTGAAAACTTCCTTGATTTTTCTTCACTGTTAACTAGCAGAATATTCTGTGTACATTGCAAGCTACAAAGTTTGTTTGTTTCTCTTCAAAAAAATGAAATGAGAGCAACAATTTTGAAACATCACACTGGAGATACGTAGCTTCGTACTTTGGCCATTGATGTAGTGATACAAGTCATGATTGTTTTTGGTGGGTTGAGTCGCAGGAATATCAGAGATCCATCCCGAAGGTACTGAACACTCAAAAGGATGGGTAGGCGTCTGCCATGCAACATCAATTTTAGGAAGTTTAAGAGAAGTGTGCAGCAAAGCATTAGGTAAAAAATTGTGAAGGTCAGTCACGGAATTTTTGATAAGATAAGTGGAGAGAGTTTGACAGAGACTGACCAAATTACATTTTTGAAAATAATGACTTGGGAGTAGTTCGAACATTAACTGGTCGTAAATTTTCTGGTAATTTGTTGTAAAAATTGCAAGTCAAAAAGGCATCATTTTAACATGAAATAGTAGTTAGAATTAGTCTCCAACGATGGGTCTCATGAAGGAATAAAACCTCAAACCTCTTTTTCTTGGTTCAAACTTAGTGCGTTTCTGGACCCAATTATTCAAGACAACAAAGACCAGGTTGGCAATAGAAAATTTGATATATTTAGGCTAAAATGAAACTATGCTGCACGTAGGCCCTATGGACATGCTTCCTTAAAGCACAAATACATCCAATTTTGAAATCAAGTGGACATTGCCAAGATGTGGATGATTCAAAAATTGTAATTTTTGGTTACCGGTGAGTATTTATTGCACAAAAACGTTCACAAAATAATGGAAAAACAATTTTTCAGAGTACTCAATTTTTTCTTATCTTAAAGTTCCTTATACTCCATGCAATGGGTTGTTTGTTAGAACCTGTAAGTTTTTTCAACTATTTTTCAGCACCATTTCAGTTGATAAATTCTTTACTTCCTAAAAATTTCTCCACTGATCCTGCAGGACGTAGATCGCATACTCAGCGTTTAATTTTGGACGTCTAAAGGTACATAATCTCTTACTTGGTACATAAAGGACAACACTTAACACAAGATACCATCTTTTTCTCAGAGAGGGTCTTCGATGATGAAACAAGTTCTGAGGTATCTCTACAATACAGATAATAGGATTACCCATAGTGAAAAGTGAGTAATTGCATGCCGCTCAGAAAATGGAATCTGGCAAAAGCCAGGCAGTTAATTTAAAACAGCACAAAAAAGTGTCTACAAGGAATGCATCAGGGTGGATTTTTAGGCAGATCCTAATAACGCACTGACAAGTCTTTTAAAAATAGTGTATTTTTCCTTCGGAAAATACACTAAAAATGTAATAAAATCAAAGGTAAGGGCACCAGAGTAAAAAAAACCAGAATCATAAAAAATCAACAAAAATTTGAAGGAGCGCATCGAACTGCTCATTTGGATAAACATTGAGATCAAGCCATAATTCACTTCCTGTTATGCAGAGGTTCATATTGTTCCTGTCTTCTGCATTTTTCGAGGAGGCCTTCAAAATTTGTTGCAAGACAATAACTTTTTGCAGGAAGATGTTCACGACAATCTAATCATAGGTTTGGTACAATTTTGCGACGCAGTCTGTTTTTGCAAAAGGGTCAACACAAAGTGGTTATTGAAATGTTGTTACATTTTTTGAGCACACAGTTTCCAAAAAAAGTTAGATTACATGGGTGGATCTCAGCTCTTGGAATTGTAATTCAGAAGTAGATATGCGCCAAAATGATATGATTGCATGGGAATATAAAAGCCACCATTCAACAAAAAAAAAAAGAAAGAAAATACCTCCTCAGCTTCCACAATTTTTAAGGCAAGCAATGGTCGCAACCGTGCCGTTGAGAACAATTTGAACCCCTGCTAATATGCTAGTACAATGTTTATTGAATGTTACTCAAACATAAAAATTCTCCCAGTCAATGCTGTCTAATTTAAAAACAGATAAACAAAACATCAACAGAAAATAAGAAAGACAAAACAAATTTAGTTAGTTTAATCAAAATTTAGGTAGTCAGTGGTTGAGATCAGAGCTGTAATTTGCTGTTGACTGAATGCGGTGGGAAATTGACATAACGGCGAAACTCATTTTTCAGAGTCAGGTAGAGCTTCTGGAGTCGAAACATGGCCAGAGTGACATTACAAAGTTGCTGTCATTCCTCTTTATTTGTATTGATTTTTACGCAGTATTATGAGTCCAACATAGACCACAGCCTGAGATCTCATTCATAAATTATGCAAAAAAAGTTATCCCTCTAAAAGTCCATCTACCGAAAGAAAATAGGTTCAAGAATAAAGAACTTTGACAAATAGAAAAGTTGTAGTTATTCATACGCTTTTCAAAGCCCTTGATGTGAGCTTAGAAAGAAAATCTATGAGATGACAATTGGAATTCCACTTTTATGATCTATCAGAGAGGATATAAAGTAGTTTTTACACTTCACTAACGATTGTTTTGGATTACGATTCTTAATAAATAGTTATTATTGCATCATTCGAATTTTTTCTCGTGAATTAGTGCGTATTTTTACATATATAAAAACAGGGTACTCTCTTTCATAAAGAGAAAGCGCTTTCTTAATTTCTAGGAAAGAAATTTTGGATGTTTTTTCTTTTTCTGATATTCTGACATTCTTTCACTTTTTCTTCACTCCTTTTACTTTTTCCTGACTGAAATTTTACATTTCCTTGACTTTTCATGGTCACCGTTTAATCCTTGACTCTCCCTGTCTTCCCAAGAAGTCAGAAAACCCAGGATTCTTTCGGAAGAAAATTGCAATTCTAAAAATTTGAAGGCTCTGCTAAAATTATGCAAGAAAATTAAATGAAAAGTTACAACCACAGTCTGGATGCTTTAAATTGCAATTAAGTGATTAGACTGTTGGGGCACATCAGAGCAAGCCAATTAACAGAAGGTTCTCATCAAACGTACAGAAATATTTAAACACAATATTGTAGACTCACTTATCAAACATGCAGATTATGACCTGTGCCCATGGTTTTTTTTGCAGCATTACCGAAACAGAAAAACCTATTCCAAGCCTAGAACGTAGTTTATAGCTTGAAAGACAAAAATTATTACAGGCTGCCACGCCAACAACCATCGAATCCAATCAAGCAATTTCCCGTATAGAACGTGGGGTTTCTCCCAGCTGAATGACATTATTAAGGAAAAATAATTGTTAGACACAACTGGAATCAAGTTATTTTTTTGGGGTTAAACTATCTATTTAAAACTTATTGATGATACGGTTTCAAACTAAATAATTGAAAAAGAAAGACAAGCCCGCACACACTCAACATACCATTCTCATAGTCTTGGCATTGCATAATAAAGGTGTAGGATAACAGGCGATAGCAGAGTATCTCTCAAAAACATGATGGAATCTTCCTCCTCAAGTTAACTGCATCATATTGGTCCAACTTCGCTCTTGCTTGCAACCTTCAACCATTTTTATTAGTTCTCTAGAGAGACAGCGGTGCTTAGTATGTGTTGTTACTTTCTGATTTCTTTGATCAAAAGAAACTGAGGATTAAGTTTATTAGGATTTAAAAAGCACAATTTTTCGTCTAGGTGTAGCAAAAAAATCACAGCAGATGAGTCAGGTTTCACTTTTCAGTTTTTAAAATTATTATTTAGCACCTGAGCAATGCACCCATGCACTAATTCCAAGGTTTCCATGATTTCTTCATTTTCCGATGCCCTGACTTTTTTGCTTTTTCCTGACCTTCGATCGAAACCTCCAATTAGATTTTTTCTTTTAATTACACTGACTTTTGCTATCGTTGACAACATTTCCACTTCGGAGATTTAAATCAAAGAAAAAGGCACTCTGATGCAATTTGTACTCTCTCCAATGGCACCAACTGAAGTTCCTGAGCCCACGAACTATTTAAAATTAATACCCTGACTTTTCCAGGTCGCTGTAAATTCCCTGACTTTCTCTTCGTTTTAAACTCTTTTTGTCTATTGATAGAGTTGTCGAATGGTCTATTGATTATTTATTTTAAAAAATTATTGATTTGTAGATACAAAAAGATGCTTATCTCAATGGCAACATCAAAAAATCTCTGATCATTCCTAGTTTTTTCAAGGAAAGGTAGAGGAGATTTTACTTCGCAATTTTGTGTGATTTTAAGGAATAACTGAAATCAATTCACAAAAAATTGCAAAAGAAACTGTTGATTTATTTTCCTTTCAAAAAATAAAACACGAACAGAGACTTACAATGTTGCAATCTGAAGTTCGCTTCACCCAACCTTACGTTATAGAATTGTAAAAAAGAATGAAAAGGATACGGATTCTGGAACATTCTTTTGAGATCCACTTTCTCCTTGCAATAAGGACAAATTTGCTTCTTGCCAACTATACACCATCCACGGATGCAGAATTCATGGAATCTGAGATTGCAGCTAAGGAACATGAAATAACTGAAAATGTCAGCAGACAAATTGATACACACTTGAGGTCAATTTTCAAAGAATGGCTCCTGAAAAAATAAAAATTAAAGCACTAGGCAACCTGTTATCTTTTGAAAATTTCATCGGTAAAACGAATCATACATTGGAAAGTTTGGAAAATAACTCCTAAGCAAGGTATGTTTACAATTGGCATTGGTTAAATGTCAAAAATACAAATGACGCCACTTACATCTTCTCATTTCAATGTAATCTGTTTTACAAACGGTTGTAGATATTTCGCCTAAAAGTTGATTTACAAAAAACCCACTGTGTGAACCGTTTTTTTCTCTGTCCACCCTTTTCCTTATAATTGGGAAATTGTAAAAAAAAAGGAAAAGGCAATTAAGGTGATTCGATGGACGCCATATTTTGTATCAGAACGGCATGCGATATATCGCATCAATTGGTTCCATTTTTTCAGCTACTCGTCATTTTTCTCCAATTTTGAGATCGCAATTCTGTTGTCAGGAGACTAAAGCACTCACTTACCAATTTTAACAAAGAAATTCAACGTAATGGAGGCGTGGTTTTTTTAGAGAGAAAATATCGCATTCGAGTGCAGTTTCGATATCTGTATCGAATGCGATGTTTTCTCTCAGAAAAAACCACGCCTCCATTACGTTGAATTTCTTTGTTAAAATTGGTAAGTGAGTGCTTCAGTCTCCTGACAACAGAATTGCGATCTCAAAATTGGAGAAAAATGACGAGTAGCTGAAAAAATGGAACCAATTGATGTGATATATCGCATGCCGTTCTGACACAAAATATGGCGTCCATCGAATCACCTTAAGTGCTTCTTGACTAAACTTTAAAGGCCATCTGATTGGTCGAATAATAATAATTAAAACTTCTGTGCATAAAGTAAGGGCCTAAAATTTAATAATTTGATCTTACGAGAACTTTAAATCCAACTCTTTCAAAATGAAATAAGATTTTTGGCTGTATTTTCTAAAATCCTCTTAGTTAACATTAATAGATGTCAATCACTCATATAACCATTTCGATGATCAAAGTGCAAAACCGTGTATCTCCATCACGTATTTTCAAAATGTCCGCTCTTATTTTATTCTTTTGAAGAGAAACTAGCTGACTTTATAGTTTGAAACTTATACAGAATATTCTGTAAATAGAGAGAAAAAATCAGGGCAGTTTTCAAGAAAGTATGTTGACTAGTTTTTCAAATAGAGAATAAAGTATGACAGGAAAGCAACACCATAGCAAACACAGATACGTTATTTTGCACTTTAACTATAGATTTATAGATGTCAAGTAAAGATGATGCATAAAATGCTTTGATGTATAAAAAAGGATACTCATGATTGCACGTAAGTCTGTAAGTGTTTTCTAAAACACCATCTTCAAATTCTGATGTTAATAATTGGTTCCCACAAACTGCGCAAACTCCTTTCTCTAGGTTCCTTGTTGAAATGCCTTGTGGGGAATAATACTAGAACAGAAACATTGTCAATCACATTCTCATTGATTATCGGCTTGAAAGTCAAAGTGGCAACTGTGAGCAAGAATTCATGATGAATTCAATGTCAGTTTGGAATACATGCCCATGCATAATTTCAGTTTGATTTTGTACTGATAAAAATCCAATGCTCAAATTGCATGGGTAGACATCTGTGAAACGCAGTTAATGCATGTAGATAACAAATAAAATGAAAATTGAACATCTCAAAGAAAACAAAAACCAAAATGAAACCACTGGTACCAATTTTTTGTTTTTTTTACAAACATTACATTATGACAATTTATAGTGTGATACAGGGTAAATTATTTGGAATAAAACATTTTTAAACCATTCTTAAACCAACGCAAGAAGGATCCCCTTCTTCCTCTTAATGTTTCATGATAAAAAGGAAACCTCAGAGAACTACACTGAAAATTAAAGCGTTTATAACATTACAAAATTTGGACATGTATTTTGAGACACCGATTTAAAATTCAGATCAATGTAGATTTAAATATTTCTGATACAATTTCTAAAGTCATTTTCGTTTTTTGTCGTCATGGATATTTTATCGTCCAGTTCATTCAACAACATTTTCTTCGCAAAAGTAATGTCTGAAAGCAAAAATAATAATTTCTAAAAGTCTTCTTTGGTTTTTCTTTGTCATATTCAATACACACTAGAAAAGGAATGGTTCATTTTTTTACTATAAACATAAGTTCTTGATGAAACAAGGAGAAGTCTTTTTCATCCGAAAGTCCTCTTTTGAAAAAAAAAATTTACATATGCAATAAAAAGATGGGAGTCTCAAAGTTTTTACATACATATCAAGAGGACCACTACATTGTATTTTTTAATACTCACCCCAATATGTGAAGCCATTTTATCGCTACATATTTCTGCGCAGTCTTGACCCAGTACACCATAATACAGTCCATAAAAGATGATGAGCACACCACAGTCCATCCAAACATGTGGTAGACTACCAAACATAAAATTTATTCGGAACAGTACGGCCATGATTACTGCATAGCCGATAATTCCCAGTCCATAACTAATTTTATAAAGTAAGTAGAACCATTTGTAAACAAGCCTGAAAGCAGAGAAAACGTTGGGTTCATCAATGAAAAGATCACTATTTTACATGCATGTCTCAGCTTTTGAAGGAACATTATAGTACAGTTTACAAGGAGAGTCAGCAAAGAAGACATCACCTCATTAGCTTTCTTGCTTCAAACCTTGTAGATGTAACAAAGTAAAACATTCATGGCCAAAATGCAAAACCATGCAACTTTGTTTGGGGCAATGCAGACTTCCCATGATACTTTCATTTTTCTTTGAAAAGCTGCTCACAAAAATTTCTTGAAAACTTTTAAGATTTTTTTTCTCCCTGTTAGCAGAAAATTATGCATGATTTTGGGCCATAATGTTGGCTTGATTCTTTTTGAAAAAATAAAACACGAGCAGAAATTATGAAACACCACTATAAAGATACGTGGTTTTGCACTTTGGCCATTGACACAGTGCTTAATGTGGTTACATGGTTAACTTAGGGTTGTTTACCTTTTTTTCAGCGCCTACACCTACTTATGGGTACAATTCAAAACTGAAACTATGCGAGTGAAGGTAAAAATTACTTAATGAGTTTTGTAAAATTTCAGCTCCAAAGTTAGGTGCATTATGTTGAATGCTAAACTTTCTTACATTTAATAACACCCTGTGTTTTAGTCTTACGGAAAACTGCCGAAACATTCACAGCCAGGTTGTCAACTAAAACAGGCTAACCAAAAATCAGTACCTTTACAGTACTTTTTCAGTACTTTCCCAAGAAATTCAGTACCTCCTCAACAGAAAAATTTAGTACTTTTTCAGTACTTCCAATTGACGAAATTCGGCAAATTTGAATTACCTGCTCAAATTGTGATAAAAATGACCAAAAAAATGAAAAAATTCCAGACCTTCTTGCAAAATTCCGCTTTTTTTCAGCACTTCCGGACCGCCCGTTAAAAATGAGTACTATTTCCAGACTTTCCAGCAATTCCGGACTTGTAGACACCCTAACAGCAGTATGAATGGACCAGTAGATGGGGTATGATTTAAAGCATTCTAATTCATACATTTCTTAACCGGAATTTCACTTACAACACGATTTTCACATCGAAAATTACTGAAATCAATCCCAAGGAATACAGCAGTTCAGATAAGAACTTTTCATTCTGCACTGGAAATGATAAAAATGACCAAAAAAATTGATATCATACCTTGGTGTTGTTTTTGCCAGAGGTTTTTCTATCGCTTTCCTGACGATAAATGCTGTTGTACAGGAAAACACTAACCAGAAAAAAATAAATCGCCAATAATGACTATTTAGCGAAAGGCAAACTGGAATGATCCACATGCCAGCTAGGGTGATGAGCTGAAAAAGATGGGAAGAGTGAGGTTCACGGGTATAAATAATCGCATCAATCAATGACAAATAAAATTTGTGAAGGTGGTTCCAACATGAATCATTGATCTGACCACCGTAAAAGAAATTATCTGAGAAAATATCATTGAAAATAGTGTCATTGACCCAGATTCATACGTGGTAATGTCATTATCATTTATAATGACAATAAAATTTGGTATTTGATTCGATCTCATTATTTTATGCTTATTTAAAAACTTCAATAATTATAAGAAAATTTTCTACTTGGTACAGTGACTGATATATTTTCTGTTTGTGAGATATTCACTATTTTATTACTTACTTAGGATGATTCAAGACAACCACAATTTTATACAACGATTTTTTTCACAGCAAGAAAGATGTTTGTTATTTTTTTAAATTGGTCCATTGGAATAATGGCTTAAATAACACTTTACATCCAGTTATTCTTTGAATCAAATTTTTGAATATACATACTAATGAAGTTTAATGCTGGCTCAGTAATCTGACTATCAAAAATTTATATTGTGAGCAGTATTGTCACCTTTGGTGTACAAATTAAAGATTGCAGCAATTCTGTATCCTGAACACAGGAGATTAAAATTTCTAAGAGTATTCTCTTAAAACTATGTTTTACAAACTGGAAACCATCATAATTCAGGTTACGGTAAATATTTTTGAGCATTTTCGCCTCAGAATGTTTGTACTCCATGCGCTGGAGTCAATAACTCAATTTTGAGTTTTTATGGGCTAAGTTCTTTTTCCTGTGGACAATCATATATCGACGGTGAAACTACCAAACCACGTATCTCGTTTGCGGTGTTTAAAAATCTACGCTCACATTTTATTTTTTTGATATAGACCAAATCAATATCATTCCTTGAAATTTTCACAGAATTTTCTCCGTATGAAGAGGAAAAATCACAGAAATTTTCAAGACTGGACGTTAAGTAGTTTTTCATTTAAAAAATAAAGTATGACAGGAAGTCTGCGACGTCGCAAACCGAGATACGTGGTTTGGTACTTTCACCGTCGATATATCTCATCATTTTTGAGGAGGCATCCTGAAATGGGCCTGTTGCAAACTTTTGCTAGAGCAAAACTAAGAGTTGTTTCTTATAGATAATGCCTCAAAAATCACGATGAGCGCATCGGCAAACTCTGAAATGCACTCATAACTTCACAGTCTGCGTAAGAAATTTGCGGTTTTTTGAGCTTCCCGCTTCAAAAACGATACTACGGCACAGGTGAACATTTTGTAAGAGGAGTCGTTCCATCGTCGGCAATAATCATCGTAGCCGACGCCAATCCGCCAAAACACGTTTGATGGGACGAGATCACACCTGAACTGGATTAGACCAGATAACAATCGGTGTGTTAACGTTCATATTTTCCACGCCCGAATTGATTGACCTTGAACTCTCCTTGAATTACGCGCGGAACTGCGTGCAAGCGTCGGCCATGATGAGTATTGCCGACGATGGAGCGACTCTTCTAACAAAATGATCACCTGTGCCGTAGTATCGTTTGTGAAGCGGGAAGCTTAAAAAACCGCAAATTTCTTACGCAGATTGTGAAGTTATGAGTGCATTTCAGACTTTGCCGATGCGCTCATCGTGATTTTTGAGGCATTATCTACAAGAAACAACTCTTATTTTTGCTCTAGCAAAAGTTTGCAACAGGCCCATTATGAATAAAAACCACTCATAATTTGAAGTACCCTTGATTAAAAGCTGCATCTCCGTTCTGCTGTCAGAAAATTTGGCAGGTGTTTTAATTTTTTATAAGGAGTAACCCGTAGGATATCTTGTGTAAAATAAAGACTAAACATTCTCTCTAATATTTGGACATTTTTTGAGAAAGCTCACAGACAGAGGCTCAAAGGCTATCCTAACAATAAATTAAAACGATTGCCAAATTTTTAGAGAGCAGAATGGAGATTGAAGCTATTGATCCTTGATGCTTCATCTGGTCATTGAATGACATATTGCATGAAAAGAGCAGTGTACTATCTCTGCTGTTAAAGATGTTGGAACGTTTTATCTTTTAAATTAAAATCGAAACTTTGAGGTAATTACCCAACTGACCTGATATGATCTATAATGTCTTCTTTTCCATTCTACTATTCCAATTTGCGCTACTATTACTAAAAGTATGAAAATAAATGTCATCTCCATATGCATGAATTCATGATTCCTATGTGCTTCATGAAGCTTTCTATGTTCTTCCCTGAAAAAACAGAAACAAAAATCATTGGTAAAACCAGACATGTGTCGTTAAGTATAAAGTTGGACATTTTTATTCAGAGAGTGCTTAAAATTCTTTGGAATCCCTGAACACCACTGGTATCTATCTACCTGCAGATATTCTGGAAAAACATCCTTTACCTCAACCGTCAGGCCTCATCAATCCACCACTCAAGCAGAAATTCTTTTTGATTCTTGCCAGACGAGCACCAGGTACGGAAACTTCGTGGCATCCTGGCGATCACTTTTTTCCTTGCTCGCCCATACCCAACCAGCTGCTTTATCTAGTGACGACTATGCCCAGAAAGTAACAAGAACACATGGAAACAAATGAATGGACATTGGACGTCTTCCCATAGTTTTGAAGTTCGGACCCCGAAAAGGGAGCGAAAGACCCAGAGACAGGTCATACATGTCTTTGGACAGATACGCTTACTTTCGAAGACGACATGGAGCCCAAAAAGTAAAAATCTAAAAAAATTGACATCGACCGTTTCCGCATAGGCCGACTCCATTAGTATCTTGTTTGATCCTCAAATCCTGCTGATATTTTGTCACTAGTCTATTTCTGTATCTTTGCGCATTTCACAGAATATATCTTCAACTTCAAACGATAGGAATTCATGGCTAGAGACTCTTCAGTTTAATTTTTCTAAAAACTCACCATGATGCTGAACTTACCTGAGTATTTCTTCTTCAGTAAGTTGTTCAGTTTTATTGACAACAGCTTCTGGAATCTGAAAAAAAAATGAAAAAACATATTCAACGGTGAATCATGTTCCTACATTGTGGGTACCAGCAGAGGTGCAGAATATTTTCTACAAGGCAAAAGTAACCATCAAAACTTCGCACATTTAAATTGTTTATGTGATCGTTCGCAAAAAAATCTTCCTCTCGGACACAGGCATCACTCAGTCTCTTACATTTTCTGACATTGCTGGTCTCGTTGCTGATCATCAGAGGTAACTCACAGCTGAGTATCCTGACTGCCACTAATTCTGGGGTCAAAGTAAAATTTCTTGGCTAACTTGAAGAGTGAAGCAAAGGATCTGGTAAGTTAAAATGTAAAGCATTAAAAAGCGCAGAATCTCTACTTCTTTGATGGCATGGATCAATGTGCTTCAGCAACTGGTAATTCTGTTGACAAACAATCTACAAAAGTTTAGTTTGACAATATACGTATGGGTCAATATCAGAAACAACTTTTCTCCGATCAACGGAGGTAGTCCTGGTTAGATTTGATAGCATTCATCGGTAAATAAATGCTGGAAAAATTGCGGGATGTGACTTAGGAGTATTCTGCAAAACCTGAAGGTTTAAAAATGAAGATTATAGCCAAAGTAATGAAATACAAACCATGTTGTCAGCCAAAATCAAGCCAAAATGCGAATCCCCGGCAGTAGTAAAAAATTGTTTACGTTTTAGGTTAGAAAAACATCAGGAAACTTTTTCGGATAGAAGTAAAAAAGCTTGAAAAATCAATACTTAGTGGGAAAGTCTGATGACACGTTTACGGCTTACTGAACGGATTGAAAACGGCAGAAATTAATTACTGTCATGCATAAATTATTGTTCGGAAGCGTCAGATCTGTCACGAAATCTTATCATTCTCTGAATTATCATAATCCATCCGTACACATCAGCATTAGACGGCGACAGGTCCTAATTTAGCCTGATGCATCTGCAAATGCAACCAACAATACACTGTAATAGAAATGATAGCATATAGTGCACGGCGTCGTGGTACCTCTGTAGACGCCTCGATCTAAGATGTGATGTAACGTAACCTCAAAAAGTTAGTAAACAAAAGCAGGACCTCGCGGAGTTTCAGTCACCGCAGTTTTGGCATTTTCGGATTCCTATTATTTTCCTACTTCAAATTTCATTTCACTCTCCAGCAAAATGACGACTTTAAGACCATTCAAATGCACGGACATGCTCAAATTCAACAATGTGTAAGTTTTGCACCTAGAAGAATAAACGCATGTATACACGGCTCTCTAAATCTTCCAAGCGGTCTCCTAAAATTCCCATTTTTGATGCTTTAGTTCTGTTTGCCTACTTTTTTCAAAGTTTAAAGCACATAAAATGTGTGGTAATAAATTATTGTATCCATACTCTTGTAGACCAGCCCAACCACACTGACGAACAGTCTCGGTCAGGTACCTGCTCATGACTTCATTTCCTCTGCTATCATAAGGGCTTTTTTTTATCCGTGAAACGCATGGAACGCGATGATAGTGGTTCAGGTTGGTTCAACCAGTCTGAACCAACCTCAACTCACCCCGGAAGAGTAGTCCAAGCGTTCCACTGGATCGCGCCAGTGGAACGCGATAAAAAAGTGATGCGCTCCGTTGCTGTCCACTGTGGTTCGGATAAAAAAAAAACCCCATAAGGTCTGCATTGTTTTACTCTTATCATTGATTACTTACTGTTTTTTTAATTCTATGTTTTCGTTGTTTCAGGAACCTGGACCCTTTGACTGAAACTGTATCCTTTTCAAAGTCTGTCAACGTACAAATGCCCCACTCAGGAAGTTTGTAGTCCAAATAAATTTTAGACATCTTTTACTATAATTTTAATTTTCCAAGTTGTAAATAATACGCCTGATAAAAGAGCGCTCAGTTTATTCTCTTTTGTTGATAGAGTGGAAGTTGATGGCCGTAGAAGGAAAATGTATACCACCATTTTAATATTTCAAAAGGGTTTTTTTTTCAAATTAATATATATTTTACACCTCTTACGGGAAAGTGCACCATGACGGATCCTTAATTTGTTTATCGCATTCAATTCTCCTCAAGATGCTGATCGTAAGTTATAATTGCGCCAACTTTCTAAGATGCACTGTTTAGCAAAAAACAGCCGCGAAGATTCAATTATTCGGCAACAATGAATCAAAATCATTTGGCTCTTCATCACCGAATAATTCAATCTCCTCGGCCGTTTTTTGCAAAAATGGTGCATCGTAAAAAGTTGGTGCAATGATGACATTTGATCAGCATCTTGAGGAGAATTGAATGCGATAAAAAAATTAAGGATCCGTCATGGTGCACTCTCCCATAAGAGGTGTGCGAGGTCCTTTCTGACTATAATTATTATTGTCAAGGAGATTAACCAGAATCTGCTTGAAATTTTCTACAAATATTTTTGCACAAGTGAATGAACATCACTGAATATTCCTCTGTGACTCAGTTCCCTCCTGTTTTGGATCAAATCCTGTCACGTAATTTTACTGCGGAGGAATAAACATGAGTGAAAATTTATACTACACAATCGGAGGTACTTATGAAGCGACTTTAGCCATTGATTTGACCTGAATCAGATATTGAATTGAACTTCGTTCATGCTTCTATCTATGGTCTGAATGTTCTGCATGCCATACTTACTGCACTTGGTATTGTGCAAGTATTGGGATTTCCTGCGGTATCACTCGATATCCACACTTTCCAATTTATTTTGTATCTAAATATTTTTACCCTTAACCGAGTTTTTTATAGTATGGGCTCTCATTCTACATGCAATATTTAGCTCACTGGCCTGAGTACTTCCAAGTTGCAGAGGCCCCAAATGGAGACATCATGGGTTATAGTAAGTTGAAATGTATTAACATCATTGGATTGATATTAGAAGCTCATTGATAGCTGTTGTAAAAAGAATTGAAAAACTCTAGATTTCACTTGTTACCACCTTCAGCAGACCTATCACTGTCAGCAGTGGCATAACTAGGAATCTTTGGGCCCCCCTCCCCCCGCCAATCTGTGGCGCTGTGTCCCTCTTCCTTTTTTGCGCCCCTTGCAACGCTGCCCCTCAGCCCGGCAGAGGCGGAAGGTGGGATAGGTAAGTCACTGAATGCCAACTGGAGACAGGGTCTTAGGAAGCCAGCAGAATGAAAAAAGCTAACTCTGGTGAAAACTTGAATAGTTAATTCTGTTTAACATTGTTTCCATTAATTACTCGTTCGTTCCCTAGTTGGTAACAGAGGCCCTTTGTTTCAAAACCTCCAAACTTCACTGTGATGCTGTCAGATCTTGTTCTGCTGCTAATTTTCAAAACAAAAATGAGCGGAAACATTTGTAATGATGGAGTCAGGCCAAGGGGGCCTGAAGGTAGAAAAAACAGAAAATTACATCACTGCACCACAACCTAGAAAAGTCGTTCTGTGTTATCAAGCCCAAAAACATGAGAGACCTTTATCTATTCTCTCATTTTTCTATTTCTCTTATTCTAATTGGTTTTAGAAATACCTTATACATTCAACATCTTCTGTTAACTGTGGTAAATTTTGAGGGAAAAACATGTCTTGTGATATTCTAGCTCCCACTCTTGTCTAGTGGTCCATTATCTTTGTTCTCTTTTGATTTGATCTTTGCACGTTCAGCATTCTATAATTTTAACTTTTAATTCTCTCAGTAATGGGAAAATCGGAGGGACACGGAGAAAACTGGCACGGACACGTTACGGCTCTATCTGTTGCTCCTATGTACCGAAGGCTCAACCTTGCTGCAACTTTAATGGCGCACCTGGAAGATATCTCAGAAAAGTATGTGTTGCTGTTTTCCTCAATAACAGTTCAGAACTCGAAAGCTCATCTATGAAAATCAACCCCTAACTATTAAGAAAACATTTCATGCTATCAGGGTTGCTGCAATCAGAGAAAACCGGGAAATGTTAGGGAACATGATGGGAACGACGAAAATGTCAGGGAAAATTTGTTAAATCACCTTCATTTGTTTTCTAGAATGGGTTTGAGGTTTCAAACAACAAATTTTGCCTTCTTAACCATCCGTCACATCTTCAATTGTCAAGGAATTTCACCAAAATGTGTCAGGGAATTTTATTTTCTAAATTCTGTGGCAACCCTGTTCTATTTGTTCAAATGTATTCTACCTATGTCTTTTTATTAAGGTGAGAAATTACTCTGAATATAGCGTCAGTAAATTGGCAAGATAAGAAAAAATTAATCTGGCAAAAAAAAAGGTAAGACTGCTGAATAATAATGACAGCGAAGTCAGCCCTCTACAGAATAAAATATGCTATTCTCTATAAAAAAAATGAATGGGATGGGATGCATGCCTAAGAATGAATGTCTGAAGATCATTTTTAATCTCGAGGAAATAGGAAAATCATTTATCTACACTTATTTTACGTTACAAGGATCAGTAACTTTGATGCATGTTTATTTTTCATTCTTTTATTCAAAATCTCATTAAATTTGTGGTTTTTTTCTCAGGAAAAAAGCGTACTTTGTTGACCTTTTTGTACGAGTCAGCAATAAAGTGGCTATATCAATGTATCAAGCTCTAGGGTATATTGTGTACCGAACAGTTATAGAGTATTATTCGGGTGATCCGGATGAGGATGCCTATGGTGAGTATATTATCTCAGAGCTCAATGAAATACTTTCACATATTTTATTGAAATTTCAATATTACCTAGTTTTTAATGAGCACTAAGCTAATGTTGCATAGAAGTTTGCGAGCCGTTTCACCGCTTGGTGTCGGTATTCTTGAACTCTAAAAACAATAGAAAAGGATATACTTGAAATGAAACGGACATTTTGACAGGATAAAATCAAATAAAATTTAATTTCAAAGAAACAAAATGAGAGACAGGAGAATATAAACACCTCTGCCTGCTACCATCAATATCGACACTTTAAAATGTTTATGTACCCAAAAAGTTAAAATTTTTAAACATATGAAAAGTTTATTCTATTTCTTTATTTTGTTTACTCAGTTAATCTTGATAACAGGAAAGGTTTTTTCATACCTCAGTCTCGTTTTGTTTTTTTTTTATATTTTATTTCATTTTACTTTGTTGATGTGTGGCTCTGTCTATTTCATTTTGAATTTTTTTCCACCTTTCATTTTTAGAGATTGAAAATTGAGTTGTTAGCTGGAATCACCACCTATTGCTGAAAACATAGTTTCAAGAAAATCGCATTTAAAGGTTTGATTCTGAGATGTGTCGCTGGGTTTTTGTAGCAGGAGAACTGCAAAATCATTTTTTCGTAATTGATAGTATCTCTTAAAGAACCCACCGTGCAGATTTTGGAAATATTTTAGTTTTCACTATTTAATTGACAGTTTAAAAAAGGTTGTTGTAGGTGGTTATTTCACAGAACACCTAATCTCAAGGTAAAATGGCTGAGTGGTTTATGAAAAAACATGATTAATGCTTTGTGACTCATTGTATGATGTAATGGAAATAAATAACAAAATATAAATTTCAATTTTGGCTGTGAGCAAAGATAACAACTAAAACAACTTGTAATCAAAGATAAAATTAAGAAAAATAGGAACTTAAAAATCAGTCTTCTAAAAACTTGGAAATATGTTTGGAAAACTATCACCAAGTGCACCTGGTGCAGTCACAGTCCTGAGACACTGATGCGGCGCGTTGTCGCGTTGATAAATGAAAGCCCACCTATACGCGTATAGGTGCGATTATTCCATAGAACCGGTCTGACTTCACTTCACTAAAATTGAATTCTTGAGCTGAGTAATCAAGGGATCGACTTGCTATCACTACCAAGGATACAATAGTTCGAACAGACCGATCTCCGGAAAAACCTTCTATACCCGTATAGGTGGTTATTCCAGCATATGCCTCAATTGTAGTGTTAGCAACCGGAAAGTCCTGCAGTTTTTGTTTTTTTTCTTCTGCTTTTTTTTAATGCACAGAAGTTCTTATTAGGTTCTCCCATTTTGCATTCTGCAGACTTTTTTCCTATGAAAGTGCATATTCAGAGAAGAATATTGCTTAAAACAAGTTAAACAATCATGCTCACAAAAAGTTTGAACGACTATTTTGAAGCTTGTGTTTCTCAAAATAATATTCGAATTTTGCTGTATCAAAATTAGCGAGTTAAGAGGAATTATTGTTACAAATTTTACTTTGAACTCTAAATTCAGAATTTTGCATAGTCATCTTTTCATAATTTGAATATCTTAAAATCAAAACAAGTTTTGTAGTTTAAAACCTCAACAATTTAAGAAAATTCCTCTGCCTCCTTGTTTTTCAATCATTCTGAGCGAACTTTGAGTAATGGTATTTCATCAAGTCTTGTTTTTATTAAAATCTATTTGATTCGGTCTATGTTTTTGTCCACAGACATGCGGAAAGCTTTATCAAGAGATGTTAATAAAAAATCGGTCATCCCCCTGGCAAATCCTGTGTACCCGGAAGATGTTGAATAATCTTAATCATACTCCTAAAATGTTCAAAATTTGTCGTGCAAGTTCGTCTAATCATTAGAAGTGTAAACTAAGCAGAAAAAAAGATACAAAAATTAAGAAATATTTGAACATTGATTAAATAAAAAATCAGGTGTTTCCCGGAAATTTCAGTGTAAAAAAAAAATCAATTTTTTTCTCGTTCATGTTTATTTTTACTTTTATTCTCGAACCTCAGTTTAAAGACATTTTTCCTCATTTTAATTTTATTTTTATAGATGTACCTAATTCTCTGCATTTGCAAAGGGCCACCATGTTTAAAATTGTAGAGTGAGTCTCTCATTGCAAAAATTACCGGTTAGTCCATTATAATCTCAGGTCCATAAGATGAAAGTAAGAGCTTATTTCTGTACTGTGCGATTATTTTGTTTAAAGCAGAATTCAAGGTATGATGTTAAAACTGGTGATCCATGAGTTTTTATTTTCAGAGTTTGAAGAAAAATAATAGAGTTTTGGCCTTCATATGCTCCAACTTCCAAGCTGAAAGTTCCAGCCTCTAAGGCCTAAAGTCCTGTATGAATCTAGATTTTTTCATCCGTCACTCCTAGAGACTTAGTGAAATCTATGCTCAATGTCTATCACTCGCCTATAGCTTTTTATTTACTGTGCATGTATTGAATGCATTTTCTCTGATTTTATGATGTAAGACATTCTAAAAGTCATTTAAGTAGTGAGTAAACGATAATTAAGATGTAGCTATCATCACATGATGCAACTTTAAAAGTGAAGCTTTTAAATGGACACAGACCTGATCAAAGTCACATTTCATAGTTAAGGATCAGAGTTGAAGAACATTATGTATAAAATTCAACAACTGGAGGTAGGTTTCTTTATGTAATTGTATTCTGTCCTTTACAAATTTCTGAAGGGAAGTATATGTTTTTGAAATCATTGTACTTTTTATTGAGTGAGAGCTCATCTTTGAGTTCTCTTCTTTACTTTTTCTATCAGTGTCTGAGAGGAAGCGTTTTTTTTTTCTTATTTTTCTTTTTTTAAGATGAGTAATAGTATGTATCCATTCAAACGGATTACTGTCACTATTTTCTTTTAAATACAATTTGTCATTTGTTACCTAAAATTCTATCTCTTGTTTATTTTGACCTCTAAAATTTATGAGTTAATATCCTGAAATACAACTTGATATCTTCCCTTTGATTATAGGAGGCAGAACATTTTTGGAAACATGTAAATAGTTTGCTAGATGTGTTACTCTCAATTTCAAGGCCTTTAAATTTATTCTAAATTTTTGAACTAGGTAATGTTAAATAGGTTTTCTCACCACATCAGATATATTGGGGCAAAGATAAAATGAAATGTTCCTCGAGCCACAACAGGAATGCTGCTCAAAAAAAGGGTCTTTTTGTTTCACCATCGATCATGGACACGCCAGAGATTTTTTTTAGGTGATGGGTTCACTATCTCCCCTCACAAGCTTCTATGTGGTTACAAATTTTCTGAGGAGGTCACAAGCAATTTTGGGAACCCTCCCCCCACCCCGTCGGACTTCCCTCTTTACACCCATGATTACCTCAGAAAATTGTCCACTTTCACAGGGAGATGAAAAATCAAATAATTCCTGAAAGCCAAGTTGCTTTGTTGTAAAAGAATTTTTTTTACTGTAAGAAAAAATAAAATAAAAAAGCAGACTTTTTTTCATACAGAAAAGTGGTTGTAAGTACCTATCCATTCTAGCAGAGGATCAATGTTATTTTATGCATGTAAAATTTACAACATCGTGAGAAACTCATTTAGAAACTGTACCTACAGCCGAATAATGTATCCTGGTGTGAGCCTCAAAGCTCAAAGCACACAGAAATCACATCCCAAAACACTTATTTACTGTTTTTCTATAACACGGCAGGGAAGGAAATGAATTTTTTATTTTTCCCAATTTATCCTCGCACAAGGTTACTCTGCCTTTTTTTTGTCCGAGAGGTAAGTAAGTGTCATTATTTAATTTTTTCCAACACTCACTTCCTCGTACATTTTATCTCTTTACTGAATGTTGTAAGTTTGCCAACAATTGCTAGTCTAATTTTACATCAATCCAAGAGCGTTCGAGAATAGAATACCTAATAAAGAAAAAGTCCAGAAAACTTCGAATTTATTGAAGAATTTGAAGTGAAGTGCCAAAGCCTGAGCGTAGCACAATCAACGTTGTTGTCAGTTCGATGCATCTTATCCTTATTTGTTTTTTTTTTTGACCATTTTACGAGTTGGCAACACTGGTTTTTGCGTCTGAGATACCCGTGTGAATCTATCAGAACGCCATCAGAACGCATACAGACTAAGCGACCAGGACTCGCTGAACAATACCGAGGAGGCCGCGCGCCGTAACTTAGTTCCGCCCGCCGCCGCTGCGACGCTCACGCGACCTGTTCGCCTCACAACCTCTTGCGATTGCGACGTACTCCACTACCACTGTCACTGTCTCATTAATAATTTTCATGGAACGATACATGACAAGTNGTGTCTGAGATTAGGATTTGTTATGATGAGTCACACACTGGAATACTGGATTCTTTAATCGTTTCCACTTTCGAGTCTTTCGAGTACTTAGAACTGAATCACTAATTTCCCAAAGTTATTCAATATCTTATCTCCTGCTAGAATCAAGTGGAAGAGCGAATCATTTGTGTCCAACGAACTCCATAGTCTTTGAAGATTGTGCAGTGAATTTCAGTGGAAGAACTCCTTTGTTCTCTCTGTATTCGTAAGTGTTTATCTCCTCCCTCAAGCTCCTTTGGAGTCCTGCCCTGTGCTTTAATTGTAGGTACAAATTTACCTACCATCATGCTTTTTTAGCAGATAACGAGTCGTAACTGACTTTAGCCAGTACATACAAGATCTTCGTAAATTCCACACACTTTCTAGAATGCTGCATTTGTGATTCGTAGACTCCCCTGCAAAGATGAATTCTCCTGAACGGGAAACAATGCAGGTTCCAGGACAACCATCCATTGGAGTCGTAAGTTGAATTCTTCACTATCCTCTTCCCTATTTTAAGTACCTACAAAACAAGTGAAAGGAATCTATTAACCCTATGGATGTTCTCCATCCATAGTCTGGGTTGCGAACTTGTTTCCTGGTGTACCAAATGCATTCTATACCTAAAGGAATGTTGTCTGAATATTGCCGCACCATCGCTTAAGACCTTAAAATATTGAAAGTGAGGTGTCCAAATCCTTAATGTGGGGTGTACACCACTCAACGTAAACGGCATTATAACCTTGGTTTCTCAGGAACGAAAGTTCACTTTGATTGAAGAAGAACCAAATTTTAAATGTCAGAGATTACCAATTCAAATTTTAGAGAATTTGAAAGTTAATTTAATTATTGTATTTTTGGTACACACCTAGTTGTGAGAACTTTAGAATTGGTCATCCTTATCAATGTGTGGATCCTGTGAAGTAGGTTAGGTTCTGTTCAAAACAAGGTGTGTCATCTAAATAAACTTATCGAATGCTGTTTGGTTCTTCCATTCATTAAACATAGGTCAAAGATCCCATCAACCTCCAAAGACCAATAAGCGCCGGGTAGAAATTTCAGTCCCCAAAAATGACAGTAGGTAATCATTTCGAAATTTTTCTGCAACAGAAGGTGCTAGAGGAAATGCTTACTTATCAACCATGGTAAAGTAGGAAATAAATTAGAACATTGCATCAACATCTTTGAATATCAAAATCTATATAATATCTCTCAAATGCTGATATGATACTCTGGCTGTTGCATTCTTTCGATGCAATATGAACAGCTGGAGTGTCAAACTAACGATGTTTGTTGTGCAGATTTTTAACAATCGAAGATGTCAATTTATTACATTATTTTTATTTTTTTCTGTGCATCATCTCTTTTGAAACTTATTCATTTCAGGGCAAGTTTCAAGGTCATGTATGCTCCTTGGCCTGAATGAAAGTCTGTTAGAGCTTGCTCATCGCACATTAAGACAAAAGTCACTCTCTGATTCCTTTACCTGGATTCAGCATCATTCAGTAGGTTCATTCATGCCATCAGATTGCACTGTTGGGGAGTGTTGATGTGCACACGATTTGGCCTTTGTCTCAAGATCCAATGAATGAGCTCTATTCAAACACTATGGTGCAAATTGGCATAGTGAATGCAAAAATTTGTTCTTGACATTTGAGGAGAGCTGTTGTCATTATAAAGGCTTTCAAACCTGTATGAGTTTAACCCATTCGCCTCATATGATGAGTATACTCTTCAGCGAGCGCCCAGGACTTATCTCAGCTGAAAAGTTTACTTGCAATATCTGTCGGCGTTGAGATGCGAACTATTGGGAAAGCAAAAAAACATGATCAAACAGATCGCGCAGCAATACCGATAGATGTCGCAAATTAACTGGTTAACTGAGATATGTCCTACGCGCGCGCTGACGAGTATACTCGTCAAATGAGGCAAATGGGTTAAGTACGGAGACGAGTGCAGTTCCCATTCACGGAAAAATGGCACCCATTGAACGGTTGGTGTATACAGTTTTCTGAGTTCATCATTTAAAGATGCGATAAAAGCTCTCCAATTTCTGTCACAGCACTGTGCACTTAGTGGTTAAGTACACCTGAAGATCTCCCTTGTTCTTGAAGTCTAGATCAAAATTTTTGGTAGTGTTTTAAAGTTTAGTTTTTTTTTAATACCCTAGGAGCTGTTTTCACAAAATGGAGTTGTCATGAGAAATCAAGCATCCAGAAGTAATGAAGATGTCTGCCCTGGGACTTTAAGAATCGTGCAATATGTAAGTTTATCTGTAACTTCCTGTGGACATGACTATTTTATTAATTTATTTATTGATTGAAAGAATAGATGGGCTAAAAACCCAGCCTACTAGAGAACTTGCATCTAAATTACAACTTTAAACAATACAGTATAACAAAATACAAGTCAAAAGATATAGCATAACATCAAAATAGAATAACAAAATAACTACTTAAACGTATCTGAAGCCCTTGCCTTTGCTTAGAACTTAAATCGAACCACATATAAACAGTGTTGCAGCTTCAAAGGCAGGTCATCCCAGTACTGAACCAGTCTGCAGCTAGGAGAGAAAAATGGAAGTTGGTTCTGGAATGCCTCTCTAGAAACCCTCAAGAGACAGCCAACATCCCTAGCCTTTAAGTGCCCGAGTAACTTAAAATGAAATTAAAACCTGTTTACTACTTAACTTGAAGCTGAAAACCAAGTCGAAATATCTGTAAAGAGACAAGGCTGAAGAAACAGAAAGCTAGTTAGAAATTTCCATGTAATCATGGTTGTAAACAGAAGTAGGTGTTTTTAAGGACTAAGTGGCAGCAATGTTGAGGCGACTACAGCTTTAAGATATTATTCCGAAGCACTAAGTATAAGAGGACTGAACCACCATTGCAAAAATGAAATTCATGAGAATCAAAGTATGTCCGAGGTACAAAATAGTGGAAATTTGAAACTTCCTTTTTACTGTTTTAATAAAACCTAGATTTCTGGAAGAATTTTCAACTGCAAAATCCACATTTTATCTGGAAAACAAAAATCAGAACGGAAAGTAGTCTAGATACATCGGTCAATAAGTAAGTAAAATATAAATAAAACCAACGTTTTCTTGCATTTCAGAGTTCAGGAAAATGTTTCGAATGGCATCCCGCTGTTTCTGTGTCTTCGGAGGAAGGTGACTGGGCTGTTGTTAGCAAAAATGATAGTAATAGTGGTGAGTGCTTCTTTGTTTATTTTTTTTTTTTTCATATTTTACAAAAATTTAATTAGGTACTGCCTTTGTCATCATATTATATTGTAGATGCAATCTTGAAAAATGCTTAATTTTGAGTTTTTTAAGAACTTGAATGTGTATAATTTTCGGAAAAGGGCCCAGAAAGTGCTTGAATGTTATCCCGTTGCAACAGTTAGCGACAAATTCTTGTTGTATGCACAGAAACGATAGTGCTTTAAAGAAGCATAAGGGGAAAAAACCTGACGAAATCCTTACAGTTGATAAAAAATATAATAGGAAGAGGAAAGTGGGTTGCTTTTTCAGAAGTCGTACATGTTCTGCCAAGCATTTCATATGGTGACTTGTCTTCGCATTGAAAATTTGTGAAAAAATTACCCAATCCTGACGGCCTTGTAATTCGGAGAAGTAACGGTTGTTCAGTCAAAATTACTGACCAATCAACTGCCGAGTTTTCCAGTTTACAGTGAGTTTATCACCCCAGACAGGTTTTTGACCTGGTAGTCTAGAGTTGGACATGGGTAACAAAAGGTCTTGTTTGAGCAAAGTCTCAAGTTTGGTCTCCACAATACGTCACCAAAGGAAAGGCTTAGGAAGCAAAACAACCACAAATATTGATACACAGAAAGTTTACTGAAAGTCACTGTTGAAGTAAGAATCAGTTGATCCCTGAGCTGGCAAATCTATATTTTAATATAGGAATGCTCTCATTATTGTATAAGCAACTCACTAAGATGATTCTTTTATTTTTACCTCCCTCTAAAGTCAAAACTGGGGGTTTTGTGTCCAGTAATATCTCAGAGAAGGTCCAGACTACTTTCTTCTGCTTAATGAAGTTTAAATGTCAGTCTCAATTTTCTTTGGTCATGGATTTTTCCTCCTTTTTGCATGTACATTGCCATTTTTTTCATTAAATGAACTATGCCTTGTGATTTCAGATGATACAATATCTTTTGACGTTACAAGGATCAAAGAATATCGTGTACACCCAAAGAACAAACGCAAGATCGTCTTTACGTTAAGAGATCCTAGAGAAGTTTATGGAGCTGTGTTCCAGACAGATAGTGTCGATAGTCTTGTAGCCTACATCAGACAATTTTATCGCACCAGAAGGTATGTTTGTAAGTCTTTTCGCAGTTCCTGTTGCTGCACAACATTTCCTTTGAATAGAGGAACCTGTCAGTAACGAATCTAAAGAAAGTTGGAGGAAGGGTACGGTATATTGTAAAGTTAAATGGAAAGGACCAAGGTAATCCTCTATTAGAGAGATCTCTCAGCGGGAGAGAGGAAGGCTTCTCTGGAAACTTTTGGCCAAAGTAACCCCTGCAGATTAAAATTGTAAGCAGGTTCCAGCTTCAAATTTACAAACGGAGCTCACATCTCTTTTTAAAATATATGTAAAAATGGCTCATTATAAAAGGAAGAATTTTAAAAATAAAAAATATGATTTAGAGAAGAAGTGCTCTTATTTTTATGACCAGTTTTACTCGGTGGTTACTACTTTGAACCACCGTTTTGAACTTGTATTTTCAAAAGAAGTTTTTTAATTTATTTTTTTTTAAAATATTACCTACTTTTTTATTGAAATTTCATTTAGTTTTTGTTATCTTAAATGTTTCTAGGTATTTCTTTTTTCAATTTTTCTTCACTTAATTTTTTTTTTCTGTTGGGTTTTTGCTCTAGGTCTACTCGTGACCATCATACCTACAAAATTATTGAAGAACGGACGGAAAGAACAATACAAAAATCTTTCTGTGACCTAGAATTTGACTTTACTCGTGGCAAATCTTCCAATCCAGCTGACAGTGTTCGGCGGCTCATCAGAGATTTCCGCCAAAAACCTATTCAAACAGCCCTAGAATCTGCTGCAAAGATTGCTGATCGTAAGTTCTGAATACCTATCTTTGTTTGTTTCAAGTGTATCGATTTTTCACACTTTAAAAGACGTATGAATGACAACCAAACAGCATATACCAATGGCGAAGTTGCCAAGATTGTGTAATCTCTCAATAATTTAATGATCTAGAAGAAAGGATGAGAATAAGGCATCCAGGTGTGCAAAACCTCTGTGATCGAAAAACTGTTCCGGTCATGATCAGTCGTGATGGAAAAGGGGAGGCTGCCGGAAAAGGGTTTTTGAATTGTGAAAGCTGCTTAAAGGAGTTTTGAAAATATAGAGGCACCAGAAAGGGGGGGGGGAATGAGAAAGCAGCATTACTTTTTGTGAAGCAATCTATCAATTGCCTTATTCGTTCCGATGGAAACTCCTAGGAAATGCTGTTTGCATTTATTTTCAAACAAACTCTGTCCTATTCCTTTTTCATTCAATGCTCTCGCTCACAGAATCCAATTTTCCCTTTCTTGTCTTCTTTCTTATCTCTTATCAATGAAGAGAAATCATTACCTCCTGATGATTCTTGTGATATGTAATCAATATTTATTCCTCAGCAGTGTGTCCTTTGTGTATGAGAGCAGATCGTATCAAAACAGAGATCTCTTTCTTCATGATTACACATAGTGCCGTTTATACTTTTTTACACTTCCTTTTCAATTTTATATTATGGACTTATTTTCAGTGTGGTGCGGTATTAACAATTAAAATTGCCTCATATGTTTAAGAAGTTGTTGACTATCTGTGAATTATTGACTCAATGATCTTGAAACAGCTAGTGCCTTTTATTTTAATCTCATATGATGAAGACTTCTCAAAAATTGATTTGAAGAATAAAAGAAAAAAAAAAAATTAGCAGTTTCAAATTCAATTAATATCTAACAGGTGCAAGGAAATGATATCAGCGGTTGATTGATGGATCATGGTTTCTCTACTCTTTATAATTGCTGACAAGAACCTTTTTCAACCAGTTTATAGGTACGAAAATGGAGCCTTATCCTCAGAAACCCCAGAGATCTTGTCACAAAGCGAGGAGAGTGTTTCGATAGCCGATGAGTATCAAATTGTAAGCCCGACAATCAAATTGCCACCTCGAGAAATCTTACCCCGTGGAAATCCTCTTTCCTACGAACAATGGCTTCAGTTCCACGATGCGCAAGGTCGCATCACTAATTCTGAGTTAGTTAAAAAAATTATCTACCAAGGGGTGAGTGATCTATTTTTTAGTTCTTTTACATTTATGTAAGGAGATTTTTTTCAAGCTGTAGACAAGTTTAATTTTACAACTAAATACTCCAACCAAAATTTTGCTAAACTTCTTATTGTGATTAAAATATTACTACAACATAAGAATTCATATCAATAAAAAATTATTGTTGTATCGTATTGGACCACTACATACTGTACGAATTTAAGCCCTCTGATATAAGTTGCCTCTTTAAAATTACATGGAGTAAACAATTTGTGCAAAAAAAAATTACTGAAATCTACTCATGATTAAGATACAAATACTAACTTTTTCTTTTATTAAGTATTTCGAAACATGTGAATTTCCCACTCATAAGAAAAATCCTAGACTGCATGAATCAAATCATGTACCACAAAGGTTTTGGCAGGCTTCTTGATGGAGCTGTGTTCCTTCTCTGCTCTGTGTTGTTTGCAATGTAAACATCAAGCAACAACAGAGCCAAAGCACTTAGCTTAAGAGGGCTGTATTTTCATACCGCATTTTCTGTTTTGGTAACGTTCTATGTGAGATTTAATTCCAAAAGATTATGGTTTTCTTTATGAGCTGGAAGTTTTAATCAATGCATTGCAAAACATCAGTATCTTGGTCAAGAGTTACTACCAATTTTTTTGTTGCATGAATTGAAACATGAAACGCTCTACGTGGAATTTTGATGAAAAATTATTTTGTATCGCTCAAATTCACACTTCGTCCAGTGGACCATCAAATGAATATGACCTTTTTATTCAAATATGAGTAATACAGCAATATTTTATTTACTTTTTTTGTTGCATGAATTGAAACATGAAACGCTCTACGTGGAATTTTGATGAAAAATTATTTTGTATCGCTCAAATTCACACTTCGTCCAGTGGACCATCAAATGAATATGACCTTTTTATTCAAATATGAGTAATACAGCAATATTTTATTTACGTAAAATATTGGTGAAATATAATCCACATGTCTGTTGAAACAAAATAACTATTGACCACCCACATAATAAAAAAAGTTAAGCATAAGAAATTACTATTTAATACAAAAAGTTCAGATTTAAGTTTTGTCGCAAAACCATTCAACATTTTTGAAAATTGTCACCGCAGTCTCTAACATGCTCTGTAAATGTTTTTTTGTTCCTTTTCAGGGTATCTCCAGCAAGCTAAGAGCGGATGTATGGAAGTATCTACTTGGCTATCTCCCATGGGAAGCAACCACAGCCGAGCAAATCGAAATAAGAAATAGCAAAGAAAAAGAATACAATAGAATGAAATTGCAGTGGCAGATGGTAACGCCTGCCCAAGAAGCAAGATTTTCAGATTTTAGGGATAGGAAGAGTTTAATTGGTAAATTTTTTTTTGTTTGTTTTCAATTATTTTTCGTTCAGTGCATGTGCTTACGCTCTATATACTCAAACTTCGAAACCTTTGTTGAATGCCCTTTTTTCAATCATAACTATCCATGGAAGAAAGGATCGCAGCCTCAGTCCATGGAGGAAAACTTTTCAGTAGAGTTAATTTTGTCAAAGTGATTCTAGATTTCAACAAAAGATTCTCTACCAGCCCAAAAAATGAGTTCTGAGGAATGCAGTTCATTTTTGTTCCCATGGAGGGCATAAAGTCACATTGCATTACAGCAGTGTTGCATTCTAAACATGGTAAATTGGTATTTTGAATAGTTTTTCTTCGAAACTATGTTTTTTGAGCTGTAAACTTCAACCCGCCTCAACTCCAGCACAGTTTGAGATTTTGGGGTAAATCTTTTTCTCCCTGCTAAACTTTTTGTTGCATCACAGTCATAACATCCTTTATTTTATCGTAAACTAATTTGATGAACTCCTTATCGTTTGCAGAAAAAGACGTAAACAGGTGTGATAGGAGCCTAGATTTCTATGCTGGTGAAAATAATTCAAACCTGAAATCCTTGCACAACATTCTGATGACGTACATCATGTATAATTTTGACCTCGGTTACGTCCAGGGAATGTCGGATCTCCTTGCCCCGATTCTTTTTATAATGAATAACGAAGTCGATGCCTTCTGGTGCTTCTCGGCCTTCATGGACAAAGTGGTAAGATCAGACTTTTATTGGCTCTCTACCTCATGTGTTCCTGCCGGAGTATCAGGGCCTTTCTCAATGCGAGGGAAGAATTTTTGATCGGATGTAGATGAATTGATCAGATTCTAATGGACCACTAGACAAGGTACGAATTTAAGCAATCTGATACATGTTTCTTAACCAGAATTTTACGCAGAACACGATTCACACAACGGGAATTACTGAAACCAACTCCTAACGAAGATATTAACGTTTTTATTTGACATTGATTACGAGGAATTTGAACTGCCCGCTCACAAGAAACTCAAAGCTCTACGTGAATCAAATCGCGCACTACAACGGTTTTTGCAAGCCTCTCAATCAAGCAATGTTCATTTTCCACCATGTGTTGTTCAAACTATAAGCAATTTGCTACAGCTGAGCCAAAGCGTCAAGACTGAGGTTGCCAGATTTTTACATCGCAGAGACTGTCATGATAACGTTTAGCGCGCGATGTGAATCACGTAGAGCATTGGGTTTTCATGAGCGGATGGTTTGAATTCACGCATCAAGAATCATCAAATATCTTCGTAAGGAGTTAATTTCGGTAATTTTCTAGGTGCGCATTGTGTTCTACGTGAAATTTTAGTTACAAAACTTGTATCAGAATGCTGAAACTCGTACCTTGTCTAGTGGTCCATTGTTGAATAAGCAACCAAAAGTTTTCAAAAATTTACTCATTTTTTCATTGCATTAATCAAAAGTATTTCTTTATCTGAGCTCACAATGGGCTTGTTGCAAACTTTTGCTAGAGCGAAAATAAGAGTTGTTCCATACAGATAATGTCTCAAAATCATGATAAGCGCATAGGCAAACTCTGAAATGAACTTCTAACTTCACAATCTGCATAGGAAATTTGTGTTTTTTTAAGCTTCCCGCTTCACAAAGGATACTACGGCACAGGTGAGCATTTCGTTAGAGGAGTCGTTCCATTTAATCCCTGCTCAAAATGGCGGATGCTTCCGCGTGCAAGTTGAGGAGAGCATGAGGTCAATCAAGGCGGATATCTATTAAAGTGAGAAAAATGTGAAAGTAAACACACTGATTATTATCATGTGGTTAGAAATATTGTCCCATCACATGTGTTTTGGCGGATTAGAGTTGACTATGTTGAAAATTGTGTGGTATCCTTGTGAGTAGGGGTTGGGTGGAATGACTCCTCCAACGGAATGTTCACCCGTGCCGTGGTATCATCTTGAAGTGGGAAGATCGAAAAAACGCAAAAATTCTTATGCTAATCGTGAAGTAAGGAGTGCATTTCAGACCTTGCCGATGCGCTTATCGTGATTTTTGAGGCACTTTCTTTTTTTTGCTCCAGCGAAAGTCTGCAACAGGCCCATTGAATCAGTTTCTGTTAGATGGGTTAAGTCCAAAAACTCATGAGCCCTAGTGTCCTGCTTAATTAGCAAAAGCCAGGGCTCCTCAGTTCTTGGACTTATGCCTGTCCAACAGAAACCGATTCAATTACCATCCCAATTTTTTCGATGACCCCACAGAGAAGAAAATTCATTCAAAATTGCTGAATATTGGCGCAGAAAAAAAGCTAGACTGAGTCGCCTGCTTGAAAGTATGAAAAGTCATAGTTACAATGCTAGCAGAATCTTTTGTGGGAGATTGCGGGGGCTCAAAATTTGTGTGAGATTTGAAGTTGAGTGTCGCAATCTTGAGCTCAACTATTAGCGTACTCTTGGAGTACACCATTGCTGACATATAAAGAGGACACATCGATTATGACTGTTCGTCATTTCACAATCGAACAGAATAAAAGAGGGTTTTCTCTCATTTTAATTGTGCGCTAATAACACATATGCTCTTTGCAAAGTTTTGTGTAGCCTAAATTCACATTATCCCATAATTACAGCACTAACCTGACCTTCAACGCCATTTAAACAATCTGAGGAGGGTACGATGATAATACGTAGGCGCTGCTTGTAGTCATCCTGTTTTTGTGTTGACATTTTTCAGTTTAGCAAGTGGCTCTATCCAAAAGTTTTTGTCGTTCCCAAAGAAACAAGCATTTTAGCCTAACTGCAAAGACCATTTTTTGGGAGATTTTAATGTGCTAATCATTTAACTTGTGCCAAAAGTATGGGGAACAGTTATTCGCTGAACAATCTCTCCTGCAGCCTAATTGTTGAAATTTATGTTGGCTCAACGAGAATCGAAAATTGATATATTACAATGCGCAGATAGGGCTATGTCTTCTCTTATCCTGCCGACATAGCCAGTTAAAGTTTCAACAGTCAGGCTGCTGGGCTGAACTGACTCAATGATCATGACTGATTTTGTTTTTTTTCAGGCATCAAACTTCGATGTTGATCAAGCTGGCTCTAAACGACAGTTACTTCACTTGCATGAGCTGTTATCTGTGATGGATCCAAAGTTTGCCGAGTACTTGAAGAATCTAGAGCCTGGATATCTGTTTTGTTTCCGATGGCTTCTAGTCATTTTCAAAAGGGAATTCTCTTACGATGATACCATGACGATTTGGGAGGTAAATGTTTTCTTTGTGTAAAATGCAATCAATATCTTCTCTCTGGGTCTAATTGCATATGTTGGATTTCTTTTCCTACATAAAGTTTCTCACTAATAATGATAGTGTTTGACATAACCAAAGTGAAACATATCTGTCGTGAGCATGAGATGTAGTAAACTGAATAGCAAGGTCTCCACTGCAGGGAAAATTTGAAATTGTTAAGGAATTTCAATAGGTAAGCAATAAAAAGGAAGTGTTAGAGAAAATGACAAAAGTGTCGGGAAAACATTTACTTTCAAGAATTTTTATGAAATTTTGAACAACTGATGTAAAGTGTTGGGACTTAAGAGTGACGATTTTTAATCATCCTGCATGGCATCAAATGTTAAGGAATTTAACCAAAATTTATGAGGAAAATACCAGTGAATTTCATTTTGTAAATTCTGTTGGTAACCTTATAAATATGATTGTAATTAGTGAAGTTTCTCGGAAATCATACTGAGCACAATAAAAAGTTTAAAGTTCTTACTCTAATGTACAGTTTGCATTGTCCATACTAAGTATTTTTAAATTTCCATAGTCTGTGAATACTATCCTATTCATGGGCAACCAGATCTGTCGAGAGCGAGATGTGAGAATGCCTAACTTTATTAAATGTACAAGCTTGTAAGCTGTCAGTAATTTCCTTGCCTAGAAATTCAATCCTTTCAAAATAAATTTTTTCAGTGGAAATGGCAGAAGACCAATGCATGCCAACAATTAAAACCATACATGCAATAGATTAATAGTAGCTTGGGAGATTGTTTGTTCAAGTGGGCTCAGTTTTTACACATTCACCATGGCAAACCCAGTTGCTGATAGGGAGGAAAAATTGCTTTCTGACATTATGAACTGGAAAATGTATTATACAGACATTGCAAAACGTGTGTTAAGGAGTGGATTCTAGAGTTTTTTGGTGTGCTTAGCCTAATTTTTGTGAAATTTCTCATGTGTACTGTTTATTTAGTTTGTTGTATCCTTTTTATTGTAATTCGCCATATCCCTTTTTTGCAAGAAACTCATATTACCGCTTTTCTTAATATTTTTTATTTCGTGTTAAAGCATGCTTAATTGTTACTATTACCTTGAGTTACGGTTTCATATAGCCTGAATGATTGATTTGCCATGTTATGGAATTTGTTAATGATTCCATGAATATCAGCGGAAGCATGCAACAATTCTTAAAGTTGCAGTTTATTGGCAAGAAGCACGAAGAAATTATTAAATTGAAAGAAATAAATTTTAACAGTTATTTTGTTCTTTGTATTGATAAACAGGCTTACAAATGTTTTATTTCTTCTCTTGAATTTGGTTTCTACCGTCTACTTTGCACTTACTTTCCCTGCATATTTTTCTAGGCTTTCTGGACAGGTATTCCTGGACCAAATTTTCATCTCTTCGTGGGCCTTGCAATTTTAGATACCGAGAAATCTGCCATCATGGACAGTCACTCCAACTTTGCAGAAACTTTAAAAGTAAGTTGTCATTTTTTCAACTCCTCTTGTTTCATTTTCTTTTCTTCCTGTTTTATTTGAAGAAGGCATCCATCATCAGGAAACTTTTTAGTACTCACTGGCCTCATAGCAAGCTCTGTATCGTCCATGGACATATGCATCTGACAGCTGATTCACTGTGGATAAATCAGGGAACATCAGAAAATTTATGAGAAAGGTTAAGAAATTTCGCAAGTTTCGAGTTTAGCAACTCCAGCCGGTGCCATTGGAGGCAGCCTGAACTACGTCCGAGTGTCTTTTTTCTTAACTGAATAGGGACAAGCGAAAACCGCTAATGTCCATTTATCCGGTCTTAAGTTTTTCGGAGTTAGTTGCAACCACGAAAGTGATTCTCTTCAGGTTTCCTTAATCCGTAAATGAGCCCTTCTATCAATTTTATGGTTGTATCAACTCTTGAAAAGTATTATGAACTCAAAAAAACTCAAGACTGAAAATATGGACATTAGCGGTTTTTGTACATCCCGATTCAATTTGAATCTGTAGATGTGGAGATTTCATCCATAGTTTAGCAGAAGTCGGCACAGTTAAACAGAGTGTCTACTGTCATTATAAACCAGAGAAACCACAGAATGGAGGAGATCTGCAGCCTGATTGTTGGAATTTTTGGTTGTCGGGACGACAGAGATGACATAGGTTAAAAGGCGGAGTGTGATTGGTTGGCTATGTCTTATCGCTGCTTTGTCGTGCCTATGTTGGGTTGAACTCACGACAAGCTAACGACACCTCTTAAGTTTCCGACAGTAGTCCCTCATTCGACCTGACAAAGGCATGACAAAGCAGCAATAAGATATAGCCGACCTATCACGCTCCGCCTTTTAATCTATGCCATCTTTGTCGTCCTGACAAACAAAAAATTTCAACAATCAGGCTGCTGATGTCATTAGGAAAATTCAAGTAAATCGGAAATAGATCAGTAAAGTCTGAAAGCATCAAGCAATTTTCAACCGCATGTAGTTTGCGGCTGAAAAAAGTGACTTTGATTCAGTTGATTAAACATGTTGGTTTGTTAATTAAAGCAAGTCTCAATTTATTCGTGCAAAAAAAAAATAAATTTTATTCAAAACATGGAAGTAGTAAGTCAATATGGAATTAGTAAGTCAAGAAAATATCAAGAAAGTCCAAAACAAAATTCTATTGGACACTTCATGGAAAAGAAAAAAATCCAAGCAGAAGTTTTGCTTTAATGTCAGGGATCACAGGGCATTCGGAAATTTTTCCAGGGGAGTCAGGGAAAAGCAAAAGAAAGTCAGAAAATTGGTTATTGAAGAAGCATTGAATTAACTGTATCAATCAATGACATTCAGATAATTTGTTAACTTGCTCCATGCATTAAATTAACAAAAGTATGATCAAAGACCTGATGACGTGGTGCATGAAATTTCTCAGGGTATTTTCTGAGCTGCAGTATCTGCTCAATCTTGAGGAATAAAAACAACTGAATCGGCCCACAACGATAATACAGAAACAACTTTAAGTGGGACTAAGGCTACAGAAAATGAAGGAAAGCGATAAAATAAAAAATCTGGGACGTCTCGAGGTGATTACACCCACATTTTCAACCAGCCAAAAAAAAAAATAAAATTAAGAAGGATCACACTGCGAGCCTCACTGCTGTTATTGTGAGACTCAATTTAATCTTGAATACATAGGAGTCTTGTGTTTTGACAGTCATCATTACTTATTTGCCAATCTGCACAGTTTTATTATTACCTAAAATCTGATTCTAGATTAGCCAAACTGATCCATTTTTGGAAGATAATCTCAAGTGGAAAGAAAAATTTCCTATAGTTTTATAGAACATGGTTGAATAGAAGAAAACAAATCTAAAAGAATCAAACGGCAAAAATCATGTTTTTGCCCTTCCTTATCCATGCTCTCAAAAGTATTTTCACCCTATTCTGTCTTTCTCTTTTCAGCACATAAACGAACTAGCCATGAAAATCGATGTCAATTCAACTCTAAGCAAAGCCGATGCTATTTACCGTCAGTTGTTAGCAGCGGAAGTCTCCCTGCCTGACCCAATCAGAACAATCCTAGGATTGGAACCCCTTCAAAAGGAGCCAAACCCGCTGTCGGATAGTGAAAGTGATGCAGAAGATGCGCCAAACTCGAGTCCAGGACATTGTAACAATGGCCTATCTCAGTCCTTCAATGATGACCAGTTCGACATCGATACTGCAATCATGCTGAATTTTATGTAAAGTGAGTCAACGATTCTCGAATTTGTGCGCTCTTTCAGCAAGGTTCCAGGACCTAGAAAAAATTAGGTAACCCGGAGCCTATCAGAAAGTTGGTTTCAAAAAGTAAGAATTTTTGCTCTTTCAGTTTTGAGACCATTTAGTGTTGAATGTAGTGGTTTGCTATGCTCTTGCATTAACAATTAAGTTGAAAAAAATCAATATTTTTGCTCTGTACTCCAGAGAAAAATGTATAGAGTTCCTAAAAAATCTAGGATAATAAGAGGAAACCTCTAGATTTTCATTTAGATCATTGGATTCACAGGGATTTTATCGGATCTCTCTTTGAAAGGGCAACTAGACAAGGTCTGACAACAAGGCTGAGTTCATCTGATAAATGGTTGCACATCTATGCAAGCAAGTAGGCATGTTTTAAGGCTCAGACCCTATAAGGATTCAACCTGAAATTACGTCTTTACTTGACAGCTTCCCTCGTTTAGCAAGAAAAAAGGACTAATGGATCCCAGTGTCAGAGATACTTTCAGGGAGAACTTTGGACAACCGCGGCGAAACACGACTCCCAGCGCAATCGCCCGTGGAGAGGTTGCCAGATGGACTAAGATGACATAGCTGATCATCACATGCCCCTCACTTGACTGAGATCTGTCCTTGCATCTAAAATGCAGAAAAGGTAAAAAAAAGGGGGGGGGGTATCGGCTGTTAGGGGTCGCGCTTTCGCTGCGGCCGCAGCACAGGAGGCCGTAGTATGCTGTCGCTTGCGATATTCTAAGTTAGGGCAAAAATTAAAAAAAAAAAAATACCAGGGAGAGTTACATGTTTAAGGATAATGTTAAGAATAATTTGGGAGACGGAGCTGAGCCTGAAGGGATCATAGTACGGAATGAACTGACTGTAAACATTAATAAAAGAGAGTTTGCAAGTGCAAGTGACCGCATGCAATAAATGGAGTGATAACATTTGTGGAAGATATTTAATCGACGGTATATCGACGATATCTTACGGAAATGAATAAACAAACAATACAGAAGGAAATAAATAAATAAGAAATGACCGGATGAATGACTAAAAGAACACCTCATAGACTGGTGTAACCACCACACGGCAGTTGGGGCACTGCACCAAGTTATTTCCCCAAGCTTCCTGGTGGTGTGTGAGGAGAAATTCGAGACATTGCTGGCAGCAAATCAGGTGTCCACACGGGAAAAAGAATAAGTCTCTCCTGCGATTATCGATGAATAATTCTTGAATTCTTTCAGTAGAAAGTTTCAAGGCTGTTGCAATGAAATAAGTAACCATAATCCAGAAAGAAATATGTAAAAAAAAAACATGATACAGAAGGAAATAAATAAATAACAAATGACTAGATGAATGACTAGAAGAAAACCTGGTAGACCGTTGTAGCCACCACACGGCAGTTGGGGCACTGGACTAGGTTATTTCCCCAAGCCGCTTGGTGGTGTGTGAGGAGAAATTCGAAACATTGCTGACAGCAAATGAGGTCCACCATCTCTGTGTCCGGTGCGTGAAGAGTAATAAGGTCTCTAACCTGTTTGTTTAGCCTTGCTTAAAGCTTCTTTTGTCTGCGTTTGTACAGATAGTACAATCCAAGAACCCCGATGACGTCGATGAGGAGAAATTGAACATGATCGTACGTCGATGGGTTGTTTAAAGCTGACAGGTTTGGAGATGGACCCGTGTTTATGATTTCCAATTTTTCTCCAGTGCCGAAAAGATTCATCGTTGCTTCTAAAACGACTTGGGATGGGTGTAGTTGAGGTAACTGTTGTTTGTCGTTTTGTCGTTATTTGAAGGCACTGCTTTCTGCCGAAGGTATCTACTTATGCATGCTGCTGTCACGCCAAAAATGCTATTGGGCACTTTCAGCCAAGGCAAAATTTAGGAGTAAAGCCACTAACTCAAAATCTTTCTACTTCAAAATATAACTATAATAAGGTTTTTTAAGTTTCTAATGTACTTTTTTTGTTTGTGCAAAATCAGCAAATTGTTTGTACTGCAACTTGCCAACATTTTCAATATCAGTATAAATGTTTTCCTTAAACAAAGACAAATGGATTTCAGCTAATAGAAGAAAATTGTTTCGGAAGCAAGTTGGAAACAAATTTCGTCATATGAAGCCAAAGATTACTTTTCTACAATCCTCAAGCTCTGTATTGCAAAATAAAATATGAAGCAACTTAGTATTATTTTATGATTTTAAAATAAAATGAGATTTAGGAGTCAGAAAAACCTAAAAGAATTAAATCATGGCGTGGAGGTGAAACTGCATGTAAGTAATGAAAAATAATACCTTGTAGGAGAAGTTTGACGTTCGTTGAAGTGTAAAATGTGAGTGTCAATATAACGCTTCACAGAACTACCATCCCTGTCCATGGCCAGTTCCGTAGCAAAACTACAGCAAACGTGCTGTTTGAAATTTGGGAGGATCTCATTCAGTGTGTACACAAGTTTCAACAAAAGTTAGTTAGTTACTTACTTAACGACGATCAGCAAGGACATATATATTTATATAGTTATATTTTCTTTGTGTATTTCGACTTCCTTCATTGCAGATTTTATCTTGTACAACAGTGCCCTTCTTTTGATATGAAACTACCTGGTCAGCAAACTATCAGTTTGACACCTCAAATCTAAACATACCCAAACTTACATTTTTTTTCTTTCTTTTTTTTGTAAGTTTAAAGAAGTTTTAGAGCTATTCAAATCCACCCGGTAATTTTTTTGATAGAAGTGATCTTACTTCCAAAACACAAAATCAAGAATGAAAATATCATAATAAAATACAGACTTATGATCAGGCTGATTGAAGGGAGAGTTTGACTACATTTTGCCATTAGGAACTACAATTTCTGGCTCATTCTTAAAAATATGTATGTCTTTAAGAATCCTAATGGTACTTACGTTGTTGTTAACCCTTAGATGACTACTTGAGCCAGATATTGTAGTGCCTAATTACAAAATGCAGTCCAGTTGCCCAATCCCCCCGACCATTTCTCTCATCACATGAAATCCATTCATAACTTTACGAAATTGCACACTTTTTCCTCCAATGAGTACCAAAGGAATTTTATTTTTATTGTGTAAGTTTTTAAGTCCACATTTTTGTGATATTATATCATAATTTATTACTTTTATACAGACAACCATCTGTTATATTTGCAATAGATAAGATAAAAAAGACTTTAGTTTTGTAATGAATGTACGTGAATCAATAGTTTGTAATTCTGTAAGAACATTGAAGGAAACACACCAGCACCGTGAAATTTTTTATGTAGAATCTCTTGTTTAATAATTTTGCAGTTTATGTAAAATAAAAATTTTCCGACAACATGAAAATTTCGCCTCTCGATCCAACTCATTCTTTTTTCTTCACATCAGTGCAACATTTGCATCGATTTTCTTTTTTTCTTTCCTTCATCAAAAAGTGAAAGAGAGTGGCACTTATTACTCTTTATTTAACTACCTTTATTATTTTTCCAAGACAAAGAAAGTTAAGGAGAAGATATACAAAAGAACAGGGTGTCTAGCATCAGGAAAAACCGGAAAATATCAGGAATTTTAGCCGATCAGGAAAATCGGAAAAATCGGACGTTTTATCAGGAATTTTTCTTATGCAAATCTCCTCAGCGGAGAAAGTCTTACTGCATTTTGCCTACCGTGCCAGGAGTCGAGAAAAATCAGGAAAATATCAGGAATTTTCAAAATGAAAAAAATCAGGAATTTTTTCTAAAATATCAGGAAAAATCAGGAAAATATCAGAATCTTTCAAAATTAAAAAAATACTAGACACCCGGAAGAAGATATCATTCAAGAGGGTTAAAAACGACAATGTTACTGGGATTTTGACATCACATAGCCAGGATATGGCGCTGTTACTGTAGCAAGGAGCTTCTCGCGTCTAGAAAATAGTGATTTTGGCCGTTATCCTTCCGTGATAGCGAAGAAAGCAGTAGCACATCGACGGTGTAAGTCCGCGACCACGTATCTCGGTTTGTGACGTTGCAGACTTAGTGTCATACTTCATTTTTTAAAGGGAAAATTACTCAACGGAAATTCTCGAAAACTGCCCTAATTTTTCTTCTCTGTGCCAAGAAAATTCTGCGAAAACCTCAGGGTATGATGACAATTTGTTCTCCTTTCAATAAATAAAACAGAGGGGAATATTTTCAAACACCACAAACGAGATTCGTGGTTGCGGACTAACGCCGTCAACATCGTCGACGATGACGACAAACTCGACCCCCGGCTTTGGCTCCTTAGTCGCCAGGTGGGCGGCCCCCGGCTTTGGCTTCTTAGGGGCCAGGGGGGCGGCCCCCGGCGTTGGTCCCTTAGGGGCCAGGTGGGCGACCCCCGGCTTTGGCTCCTTAGTCGCCAGGTGGGCGGCCCCCTGCTTTGGCTCCTTAGGGGCTAAGTGGGCGGCCTCCGGCTTTGGCTTCTTAGGGGCCAGGGGGGCGGCCCCCGGCGTTGCCCCCTTAGGGGCCAGGTGGGCGACCCCCCGGCGTTGGCTCCTCAGGGGCCAGGTGGGCGGCCCCCGGCTTTGGGTTCTTAGGGGCCAGGGGGGCGACCCCCACCTTTGGTTCCTCAGTTGCCAGGTGGGTGGCCCCCGGCTTTGGCTCCTTAGGGGCCAGGTGGGCGGCCCCCGGCTTTGGCTCCTTAGGGGCCAGGAGTTTTTTCTCCCTAAGAATATCGAATGACATTGCTGTAATTCGTACTCCGTTGCCCGAAGTCAATGATTCGCCTTCAAATGGCGGGGTATGCAAAATGACTGCCGAAACGCACGAATAGTGGTATCAGAATTTTGCATTAAGTGTACGGATTGATTTGAAGGCGCTCTTTTGTATCCATTGTGAGTGGCCTTGTACAATGATGTTGACCAAAAAGTTCATAATTTTGGGTTTTAAATCGAGCCGCATATTCGAAAAATGCCGAGGAATATTATTTTGAAAAAATAATAAGATTGATTTTGGTCTCTCCGTGTTATTTCAAAGAAGAGAGCGCAGGCGGCTGGATCGAATTGTGTATTTTAAGTCCCTTGGTTCGGTCATCGTATTCTGAAAAAGTCGCCTTTTTCAAGATCGCAACTTACGCAAAAGCGGTTGTGAATTTAAAAAGTTTCGCACGGATAAAATGAGCTTTCTTTGATTAACTGTGAATAATCAAAATTGAAGAAAAGGTACTTTGTCCACTAGTCCATTAGGAAAGCATAAAGCATGGATGGATAGAGCATCGATGACCAGATAAATCTTAACTGATAAGGAATTTTAAGTGTGAAACCCTTTTTTCAGTCTTAAATGATCCAAATCCACCAACAAGTTTAAAACACTAATTGCAATAATGCGCATCTCCTGATGAAGTGTCGATTCTTAGTCCCGAAAACGCGAATCTCGGCATGTCTGACGTATTTTCTAGCAGTTCGAGAAATTATTGGAACTGCTGATGCGGAGTTTGAAAAAACATCTTATACTTGCTATTCTAAAGAATTATTACCCTTGTACCGACAATAAAGAGGAATGCAGACAGTTTTTTTACTCTCCTGGAAAATCGTGTTTTCCGAGATGCGCACTTCTGCACTTTCACCATCGATAAAGTGCTTTAGTATTGTTTAATTAACATTTGCGCAGGCAGTGATTGTGATTGTTCAGTCAGTAATTTTTTTTCTCATTAATTTCTTCACAAACATTCTCAGGTATATATGTTGCAGGCAATTAGCAATCGCCGGCAAATTGCAATCTATTTGTGTTTAATCAACAAATTTAATCGTTTTAAAGTGAAAAAACGAGATTGGAAGGAGGTATTATTATGCTTTGAATTCAAACATACGTTGGCCCCTTTTTCTTGGATACATGGTGCCAGCTAGCACACTCGCGAGTTCGAGAAATGTCATCAATAATCTGTGTTAGGTTCGGTTAAGCAACTAAACTAACTCCTTGGCAAAGCGGAGAGTATCGCTGGATTTGAAGGCGCCAAGAAATCTTTACTATATCGATGTTACCGTAATTACAATTTGACGAATTGATAAGTACGGAGCTTGCAAATTGCCGGCGACTGCTGACTCCCTGCGACTTACACACTGATAAAGATCTCAGAGCTATTTATTTCCATCTTAAAGTTTACATGTACTTTCCTCTCTTCTAATCAGCATGTGTGTTTCTTTTTTGTTTCTGGTGCATCCCTCGGAATTCTTGGATTCAAAAATCGATGATCTTCCCAGACAACGCAAATCGTCAATTACGAGGCGCGTTCGTAAAGTAAGTATATATCTTTATTTTCTCCGGATTAATGAAGATAAATTAAAACGGTAAAAAGTGTTTTAACCGTCATACTCTCAGCTTTTCAAAAAGCCTTCGTTTTTTAAATTTGGTCCACCCGTTCGCGAGTGACGTCATTTTTCCCGCGCCCATCTCTCGTCACCGCGTGTCCAAAATATTCGAGCGCGGCGGAGCTCCTCAGACGAGTACATGTTTTGGCTCCGGGATTTTCGGTCGCTCAAGGAATATTGCTGATCGATTACTTAGGAAGAGGAAAAACAATCGATGCCGCAAAATATTGTGAAGTTTTGAAAAAACTTAATTCTGCGATCAAGCGAAAACGGCCCGATCTTTTGTCTCGTCAAGTTTTGTTCCTTCAAGACAACGCTAGGCCTCATGTGGCTCATGTGACTAGAGACTTGTTCGCCTCATTCAAATAGGACCTTTTTCCTCATCCATCGTACTCACCGAACCTTGCTCCATGCGATTTTCATCTTTTTCCTGCGTTAAAGAAGAGCTTGGGTAGCCGAAAGTTCTCCACCGACGCAGAGTTGCAAGAAGCTGTAAAAAAAAATGGTTCCAACGACAGGATATGCGCAATTTTTTGAAGATTGAATCCACAAACTGCTAACATATAATCAGAAATGTGTTCAACTGGGTGGAGATCATGTCGAAAAGCAAGGGAAGACAATTCAAAGCCTGAAAGTTTCACATATTTATTCAATTAATGGTGTTACAACCTTTTTTAAAGTGAAAACGTGCGTACTCACTCGTCTGAGGAACTCCGCCGCGTTCGAATATTTTGGACACGCGGTGACGAGAGATGGGCGCGGGAAAAATGACGTCACTCGCGAACGGGTGGACCAAATTTAAAAAACGAAGGCTTTTTGAAAAGCTGAGAGTATGACGGTTAAAGCACTTTTTACCGTTTTAATTTATCTTCATTAATTCCGGAGAAAATAAAGATATATACTTACTTTACGAACGCCCCTCGTAAAAAATTGGGATCGTTCAATTAAACGGGACACTTGATTCACTTAACTGAATCTTTAAATTAACTGGAAACTCAAATTTACCACAAATCCTACTCAACCAAAAACCTGATCTAACCTCGCTAACCAAAACTTTACTCAACCGGTGATCTTACCCACCGGAAACTCAAACTATCAATTGACCAATCGTCCGGCCGAATTTTACTTAACCGGAAATCGACAACCGTAAACTCTGCTCGACCGGAAACGTGCTCCAATCGAAAACTTGACCCAACTAACTGGAAATTCGATTCAACCTGAAATCTGACCCATCCCATACTTCCAATTCATTGGAACCGTAGGTAATCCATCCGTATATGACGTTACCGGAAAGTAACCCGACTGGAAACTGTTTCCAACCGGTAACGTGTCCCTGTCGAAAATTTGACTCGACTGTAAATTTAATTCGATCGGAAATCTGACTGACCGGAAACCACAATCAACGGGATTCGTTATCCACCCGAAATTTCACTTGACCGGAAATCGAATATCTTAATTTCTACTCGACCGGAAATGTCCCCCAATCGAAAACTTGATTCAACTGGAAATCGACCCGACCGGAAATGTGTTCAAACCCAAAATTTGGTTGTTCTCGGATGGAGAATAACCAATTTCAATACCAATATATCATTGATTTTCCTTAGTAATCACAAAAATTCGATATAAGCGGTTGATATATCGACTCGTTGACGTCAAAAATCGATTCTACAAGAAGAAATACGTAGGTGTCTGTGTACTACAGTCATATTAGGTGCATTTAGTCATCCATGAATCAAAAATGAACAATTTCAATCTCAAAAAATCGTCGATTTTCCGTGAAGAATCTTAAAAAATCGATATAACCGATCGCTATATCTACACGTCAACATTAAAACTTGATTTTGCGTGTAAAAATACGTAGGAACCGGTGTGTATAACTTGTATAAACAACGATAACAACCCCGTAGACACATCAATTCAACAAGAAAATAGCGAACAATAAGGCCGTAGTTTTACCCCTTTGCCCCCCGTAACTCGAAAATGGTTCCTATACTCATCTTGAAATTTTTTCCTGAGT